GGGGGGGGGGGGGGGGGGGGGGGGGGGGGGGAAAAGGAGGGGGGTATTAGGAGAGCTTAGGGGGGGGGTGAGTGGCAAAGATAGACGGAAAGGGTTGAGCATGTACATCACGACATCATGAAGACAGATGTAAGATATGGGAGGAAGGGATGACAGTTCTCGGCGACTATGTATCTTGGCTGTCTAGCGCTGGGAATGAAATGGACAAAACACGCTCAAATTATGCATTATGCACCATCACTCGATGACATCCCACAAGAATCACTCAAAAGATGCTTACTACACAAAATCAAACGTATCCCCCTGATCACCCACCATCTTCCCCACCCTCACCGAACCCACCACCCTCTCCAACTTCAAAACATCATACCTCGAAAACATCACCCTCACCGTCCCCTCCCCATGCGGCACCAACAGCGCCTGCTCACTCGCCTGCAAATACCCCCCCGCAATCTCCCGATAAAACACCGGATTATCCGGCAGACCATAAAACACCACCCTTCTCACGCCGCGTATCGCATACCGCCGGAAATGGTGCGCCCGCTCCGTGTACAGCAACACCTGGTGCCGACCACTGAGGAAATGCGACCGCGCCCGCGACGCCTCGCGCACGTCGGCGTACTCGGAGATGCTCCCGAAGGAGATCCTCTCTACGGCCGGGCTGTTGGCGAAGTAGTTGCGTACGCGGACGAAGTCGAGGTAGGAGGGGATGAAGATTAGCGTGCCGCCGCCGCCGCCGGCATCACCTCCGGTGCTAGTAGACCGTGACTTGCTATTCTTCAAAAGCATCGGTACGATGGCCCGGGTGAAATAGGCGAACCGCGCGTCCGGGTCGGCCGCGATCGAGGGGACGTCAAAGCGGCTGAAGGTCTGGCGGACACGCACCGGGAGATGCTGGATGGCGCCCTGCGGCTCGGGCTGTTGCAGCCGGGCTTTGCCCGCCCAGTTGCGGCAGTGTGTGCGCAGGAGCTCGGCCAGCTCGGGGGTGTGGAACGCGCTGAAGACAGCGGTTTGTCGGAAGAGGGGAGCTTGGTCGTCGAGGTACCAGCTGCGCACACGGCTGAAGTCGCAGCCGTGGGCGTCGCGCGGTTGGATGTTGAGATGCTCCAGGATGAACTCGACGTGTTCCCAGTTTTGCATTAGGAGCGCGTCGGCCTGGTCGATGATTACTAGCTCGATGGAGCTGAGGAAGTCGAAGTCGAGTTGTTTGCCTTTTTCTTTTTCCTCTTCCGATCCCATCGCCATGCGTAGACCCAGCGGGCTGGCGAGGATGATGTCGGAGTTGTAGAACTGGGAGAAGTACTTGATTGTCTTGCGCGTGAACTTCATGCCCAGCCGGAACATGTCGTCGTCGCTGCCGGCGAAGAGATCCCGGAAGTCTTCGGGTTTGTCCTCGGCGAACTTGGTCTGCTTGTCGACGTACCCGTCCTCGAACCGCTTGCGGTTCTCTTGCTGGTCTGGCTCGCAGATTGATACCATCATGTCGACCATTTTGACGCACGAGTTGCGCGTGGGCAGCAGCATCAGCACCTTGGGACGGGTGAACCCTTGGTCGCGCAGCTCCAGATCCTCGCTGCCCTCGTAGCGCGCCAGCCGGGCGTTGTTCTTGACGACTCTGTCGCGGGTTCTGCGTATGTGTTAGCTGGTAGCTGATCGAGCCAAGATAAGGTATGTGGCTAGCTTACTTAAAAATATGGTTGAGAGCATGCAATGAGGCCATCCGCCGAATACTCTGCGCCCCCGCGACTGTCCGGTTGCAGTATAGCAAATCCTGGTAGTTGAACAGCAGCGGCGCTATCGTCTGCTCGACCTGGTCAAACTTGGCATGTTTAGGCTCCATTGCCTCCTGCAACCTCTTCTTGAGCTTGAGGTCCGCGATCCCCGTCACCGGCGCTGGCAGTGACTTCCCCGTGGTATCACCGGTATCCGGTGTGCTCAGGAATACCCTTGTCGAGTCCGTTGCTATCCGCTCCGTGCGCCACTTGCTCTGCTGGATCGCCGTCACCCGCGGTTGCAGCTCTTCGGCCTTTGGATCAGAAAAGTGCATCTCGAACGGGTCAGAGCTGTCCAAGTCATCGTCCACGTCGAACAAGTCTTCCGGTGCCGCATCGTCCGCTTCTTCCTCCAAGTCTTCTACCCGGTCAACATCCCGCTCCACATCAGCATCATCGTTCTCATCTCCATCATCGCCTGCTTGTGACACAGCTTCAGGTTTTGCAGATTCGTTGTCCGCGTGATCGAGCTTCCGCCGTTTTGCTTTCGGCGCGCTCTCCACCAAACTGCGCATCAAACTGGCGTACGGCTGGCCAGCCTTGGCATCCTCCTCATCTTCACTCTCATCGGAATCCACATCCATACCCTCCAATTCGTCCTCAAACGGACTCTGGCCATCACTCTCAGAGTCGGATTCACTATCCGGGTTAGTTTCATCCAATCAATAACCTTCCGAGACAAAGTCCCTCCAAGATAACTCACTCCTTCGAAGCCAGCCGTTTGTCATCAAATCGAGCACTCCGCGGCGGCTGGGCAACACTCCTTGCTCGACCGCGACCTCTTCCTCGAAACGACCCCCGTCCTCTTGATCCTCCACGACTTGGCCCGCCCCTTCCTGATCCTCCACGGAACCCTCCACGGCCCCCGGGGGCCATTGTATTCTGAAAAGGTGTTTGGAGGTGAATATCTGGTGTTGGGTTGGTTGATGGCTCTCGACAGGGTCCGAGAGCTCACATGAAAAAAGTTGTAAGAAATTCGTTGTTCGGGGTTAGGGTGCAGGGAAGACGTTGAAATTTGCAGTCTATGCAACCCTAACCCTGTCTTCTGCAGGGATGACATGGCACACCTGGACTCCCGGACGACTTGTGGAGGAAGGGCTACAGCAAACAACTCTCAACTAACCCAATCTGCTATTCAAAAAACGAAATACCATAATTCTAAGGCCTAATAACCTGCCATCCACTGTTGAACTTGTCGTACTTCGAAGGAAGCGACAGCATTCATGGTGTAATTACGTCAAGCGAATGATGTAACACCAGCAACGACGCGGTTGCTGCGGAACATGGAATCGAAATTCATTTACTAGTCCAACTAGTAAGAGGTGCTCGAAGGTTCAAAACCCAGGCATTAGGGCAAATCTCCCCGTAAAAACAAACACTCAACCGTGATATGTCCTATTGCGACGTCAACTTCAGCCTCGCCTGCAATGGCCAACAACCAATCACCGACCACCCCACCACGACCACACCAAAAACCCCCACCTCACTCGGCAGCCTCGCCCGCCACTTCTTATCGGGGCTTATCTTAGCGCGCACAACCAGGTCCCGCACCCACAGCAAAACCAAAATTCGAGGTCCGACCCTTTGGGTGTGTGAACGAAAAGAAGCGGCTCCGGTTTTGGTTTGCGTTGCGACTATTTTCCCCGAGACTCCGCGAGGGACCTTACCGACCCAAGACGAGACCCCCCCCTCCCCCTGTTCCCACCCCCATCGGTCGCCACTAATTTTCTGCGCCCCGGGGAGTCGACGACAGAGAAAATCCAACCTCAACATCTCACCAAGAGGTCCGTCGGATAACAGTCGTCAATATGGCTGTCGAGCAAGAGAACTTCGTCCACCTCGCGAGGCCGCTGGCGCCAACCAACCTGGGTTTCTCTAGCAGTGCCCCGCTTACCGTCAACATCCAGCCCCAAGTATGTCTGCCACTCCTAAACCGCTATGTTGTTTGTCGCTCCGAAGATCAACAATTACCCCTCCACCTCTCCCTTGTTTGTTGACATATCCACCAATATGGCGTCCCGATTTACCCATATATGGAAGGATACGTATGAACACATCTGGTCATGATACATTAACACATGCCGCTTCCCTTCTCTAGGCAGTCTTCTCCGTCATCGACCATGCCGTCCGCCGCGACACCCGCGACACCCAATCGACACGAGTGATCGGAGCCCTCGTCGGCACCCGCAGCGAAGATGGCAGCGAAGTCGAAGTGCGCAGCACCTTCGCCATCCCGCACACCGAGAACGAAGACCAAGTCGAAGTCGACGTCGAGTACCAAAAGAACATGCTGGCCCTAACCCTCAAAGCCTCCCCGCGCGAGACCCTCCTCGGCTGGTACACCACCTCCCACGAGCTCAACAGCTTCTCCGCGCTCATCCAAAACTTCTTCGCCTCCCCGGAAACCGGCACCGCCCCGCACCCGGCCGTGCACCTGACCATCTCCACGGAACCGGGCGCCTCCATCGAGACCAAAACCTACATCTCCGCCCCCGTCGCCGTCTCCCCCGACCGCGCCTCCGAATCCTGTCTCTTCATCGAGGTCCCCCACAAACTCCTCTTCACCGACGCCGAGCGCGCCGCCCTGGGCACCGCCACCGCAGCCGCCAGCACGGAAACCCGCGCCGCCCCCGTCATCTCCGACATCGAAACCCTCGCGCAGTCGCTCGAGTCCGTCTCCGACCTCCTCGAGCGCGTCTCCTCCTACGTCGGCGAGGTTCTCGACGAAGAACGCGACGGCAACCACGCGCTGGGCCAGTACCTGATGAACGCTCTGTCCCTAGCCCCCAAAGTCGACCCCACCCAAATCGAATCCGACTTCAATAACCACGTCCAGGACGTGCTCATGGTCAGCTACCTGGCCAATACCATCCGCACGCAGATCGATCTGGCCCAGCGCCTGGCTACCGCTCCGCTTGTTGGGGGGGATGGTAAAGAAGGTGGTGATGGGAAGGGTAAGGATGGTGAGGATGGTGGGAAGACGGAGGGCGGTGATCGCCGGGGTGGTGGTGGGAGGGGTGGGAAGCGTGGCGGTCGGGGTGGTGGCCGTGGTGGTGGACAAAGGGGGGAGCCTAGGGAGCCGAGGGAACCGCGGGAGCCGAGGGAGACTGAGTGAATGGGGTTGCTGCGGTAGGGAGATAGAAGCTGTGATTAACTCAAGGGAAGAACCGGTTACGGAGGATAGGCAGGGTTAGAGTGAGTTTGATCGAAAGAAGGTAGTCCACTCCGGCCGGGACAGAACCAGGAGAAGAAGGTGTTGTCTGGAGACTGGCTACGCTGTCTGGAGAGGGAGAGCGGGTTCAGGTTCAAAGTAACCAAAAGTAGAATAGGACGGGAGGGGTTTTCCCAACCACTTTCACCCTTCTATTTGTCACTCTGTCTCTTTAGCGGGTCGGCAAGGAAAAAAGAGAGGTTCTCTGTTTGTTTCTGATCTGTGTCGCCTGTCAGCAGATGTATTCGTTGGTATTCCACATTCTCCGTCCACGCTCTGCCCATCTTATTTCTGTCCGTGTCAATCACTCCAATAAGCAGGTAGCGGCCACGCTAAAACGGTATCCAGCAATGGAAATGAAGAATATTTGACATCTAAACATAAACAACCCCGGCGTTCATTAAACAAGAAGCAGTGACCCGTAACTCTAGAAGGGAAAATATTTTGTTGTAAAGAAGGTTAAATCCGAAAAAACGATAGTAACGAGATCCAAGAGACAGAAAGATGTATAGCCGGACAATATCAAGTCTTAAAAGGAAATTAACCATGATCTATCCAAGACTCCCTTCTCTGGCAAGCTAGACTCGGTGTCTCATTCCATGACTCCTACATTACCACATTGTAAGGAAAGGACATGGAAAATGAGGCTGACTTAGACAAGCAATGGGATGAAGAAATAGTAGACAATGATTAACCCGTGAGGTAATGAATACGAGGTAGCAGACTCCCCGGCAAAAAAAGAAGGGCAGAAAATAACAGGAAAACATAAGTTAGCCAACAATCCTCACAGAACCGTTGATGTTAACCACACGCCTGTACTGTGTGACCTGTAAAAAGGCCTACTACACAACATTTACGAGATCCCACACCAACCAACCCGTATACTTCACAACACAAACATCACGAATCACATCCCTAATCACCCCAACACACCAAATCAATCAATCAAACCCATCCATTGTGTGTCTGTCTCTCTGTGTGTGATTCTATTCTGCACATCTATAACAGCACCCACCTCTGGGCTCCCAGACATCCAGGCTGGAAGCAGATGACCAACGGCCACGGAAGGTTGTCGCGTCAAGTCAAATTGATCAAGAACCCAACCCAATCAGACCAACCAACCATTCCGCCCGCGGGCTTCATCTCCGCCATTTACTTCGACATTAATCCTCCCCTCTCCATTGAACAGCGCTTCATGTGTGTGTGACATGCTGTGCTTTGTTGCGTGATACTGTGTGTGTCATGTCTCATGAAGCTGGTTCCCCTATGTCCTGAGAACCCAACTCTCAACTCACACATGATATGCACCGGCAACAACATACACACACACAGGAAACCGCCCCAGCCTGGCCTGCCCTCTCTGTTTTTATCATCACCGCCGTCAACACCACCACTCTCCCAAATTTTGAGCAGAGCAGTGATGTGTATGCACCCCCCCCGCCTCACTCAACCGTTTGTTTAGACCCCAGAACAAGACAAAACAAAGCACCGCAAAAAAAAAAGGAAGCAAGAAAAAGTGGAAAAAGAAGTGAAAAAAAAAAGACACGTTGACGTCTCCAAGTCGTACCAACAACCCCCAAGTCACCAAGTCACCAAGCACAACCCACCTAAACTCGCTCCACCCGCCATGCCTCGCCTCGCCATGCCTGACCGGCCGACTGACTCCCAGAACGCCTCTGTGGATGATAATCACGATGATGATGATGATGATATGCTTGATGTATGCATTGTGCGCGCGCGCGCCCGTCTTCAATTCACCCAGACAACAACAAATCGACCAAGTCACCAACCAACCAGCCCGCCCCATGTTTTGACGCCTCTTTGAACTCGAATGTATCCGTTTTGACTCCCGTTTTGATGCTCTCTGTAAATGTTCGCTCCCCCCTTTTCTTTATGCCGCATGCGTAGTGTGTGTTATGTGGAAGGCTTCTGCGGCAATGTGGCGGGGTTGCCGTAGTTCGGAAGGTGGGTGAAGGTTTGGCCAGGCCCGGGTGGAGGAGGGCCAGCGGCCTTGTGGTTGGGGATGTGCATGGCAGGACCGCTGGGAGGTGGGATATGCTGGGGAGCGTGAGGCGGAGGGGGTGCCTGCTGTTGCACCGGGTGGTATGGCGGCATGGAGTTGTTTGAGCTTTGTCTCGACATCATGTAGGGCCCGGGCGGTGGCACACCATATCCCGGCTGAGGCAGTGGCTGCTGGAACCCGCTGTAACTCATATGCGGTGAATGGAATCGGGGGCTGCCGTGCTGAGAACCAGACCCTCCATAAGAGCCGGGCACGTGCGGTGGCGGTGGTGGTTGCAAAGGAAGCCCATTGCCCCCTGGGACAAAAGACTGTGTTTTTGGGTTGAACGCCTGCCGGTTGTAGCTGCCCGGGATAGGGTGCTGGCTCTTCGGATCGCTAGGGTTGACGTTTGCGGGAAGCTGCCCATAAGCATACGGGATGCCCGAAGGCGGCACTGGACTGGATCGAGGCGGGTAAGCGTTCTGGGTGTAGCCCTGCGCCGGCCATGAGGGCTGAGCGATGCTTGGCGCTGGGCTCCCGTACGGCCCAGCCGCGATGGGCGGGTTCGGGTTTGGCGGCGGCGGCGGCCGGTATCCCTGCTGCGGGGGCGGGACGGGCTGTGGCACAGCTGAGGGCATGGGTGGTGTCCCGTACTGTAGTCAAGACAAGTTAACAAAAAGGTACAATCAGCGAGACAAAAGAGGCATGCTTACACTTGGCACAGTAGTGTATTGCCCGTTGAAGCTGTTACTGGGCACCATCTGCGGTGCATACGGCTGAGTAGGGGCGTACATCGGCTGGGTAGTACTTGGGTATGGTTGCTGCTGGTATTGACCGGTGAATGGGGCGGCGGTAACCGGATAGTATTGAGGCGCAGAGGCGCCCCAGTTCGGGTGCTGCGGACCGCACCAAGCGACATACTGAGACCGAGACTCGAAGCTCTCGTCGTCCCGGCGCTTCGGTTTCTTCTTACCGCTGTTCGGCCTGTCTTTTCCAGAAACCGAACTAGCACGTGAGACACCGTTGCTCTCTTCACCATCTGTCCAAGATCGTTAGAACCGGTTAAGAATGGGAAGCACGAAATGGTAAACTCTTACCCTGGGCGGCACTCTCTGCTTTCTCCACACTTCCAAAGATACGAAGTCGGGCTTTGTTGTATGCTTCCTCACGCTCTTCTCGGGTCATCCTAGGTTAGACGTTAGCATGGGAGGAATTAAACAAGGAGCACATGCTGTGCATGTTCAAATTCTCACTTTTCCTTGGTTGGGGCGGTCTTGTCTTTGGAATCACTGCCCGCTTCAGATGTGGGTTTTGACGGGCTAGCACTGGCAGGACCTAATTCACCATCCTCGCCTCGGCGCATGATCTTTCTCGGTAGAACGACAGGGGCAGGCGAGCTGCTGCTCGGGGTGCTAGTCGCAATGCTCGACAGCGACGGGGGTATCCGGCAAAAAGGGGTCCGGAAAATACGAACAGCTCCCGCAGCTGCCTCATAGGAGTGCGTCATGTGGTAATAGTCGGCCAGTCTGTGCGTCAGCATTCTACAAAAGGAGTTGCTGGGGGGCAAGTCCATGTACGGCTCCCTACAAAAGCATTAGCGACTCATATTGCAAATGAGAAGAAAAGTATGCTACAGAGCGTGAAGGGGAAAGAAGGGAACGCACTTCGAGTCCTGTACAAATTCAATGACTTGCTGCTCCAGTCTCAGCAGAAAGATACGATCCTTGGGCGACTGCATTGCTTCGAGCAACTTCTCATCTGGAGTTTGACTGTAGAAGGCGTTGGGCGCCAGAGCATCTGGAGGTGCAGTACCCCCAACAAGCGACACCTTCGGGTCTGCTGGCACTTGCTTGTCGGAACTTCCGCTCTGTGGTGTGGTGGGGCCCTGGTTCTTCGTCCCAGCCAAGGGATGGAGTGCGGGAAGGACGCGAGGGGGCATATCCCCAATCTGAATACGCTGGATGCGAGCGGCGACATCAGAGCCCATGCGGGAACTAGCCATGTACGAGCCGCGAATGGAAAAGGCGTCGTCGTCCTCCGCAGCAGCCTTGACGCTGGCACTGTCGTCCGGGCGGAGCGATTCCTTCTCGTCCAGCGCAAACGTCGTGCCCGAGGTGATGCTCTTGCCATCGAGGCTCGGAGGCTTAGTCCCTAGCTCGGAATTTGAGTCGGCTCGCTGGGATGTGTCGTCGGACGGCGTCTGGCTGGCGCTGGCTTTGCTTGACCCCCCGGGGATTCCGCCTAACGATCCGTTGACGACAAGATTGAGGGAGGGCGATTTCGCTTCTAGCTTGAGGTCCTTTAACCCCGCGACGAGTTTAGCGTCGGCGGGCTGCTCGTTGCTGGCGGCCATCGGTTGTGCATTGGAGGAAGAAATTGTGGCATTCGGGACACCTGTTAGCGGAGTAGAGGAGACGACGGCAGGCGCGGTCGCAGAGGCGGGGCCGTCTCTCCTGTCTCTAACCGGGGCCGTTTCGGTAGTTCTCGCGATATGGGCAGCCGATTTGGCGCTCTTCGTAGTTGATGTAGCAGCAATCTAGAAGAGGGGAGGAAAGACGAGAAGAGCGAGAATGTTAGCGAACGTGTATCGGGAAGGTAGCATACAAGTGTAAACGCCCGATCACCACCACAAAACATACCCTTGCAAACGACATCTTCCCAGTATCGCTCGCCATAGTGGGAGCGGCCGCCATCGCTCGGGACCGACGGACGGGGGAAGTCACCGGGGAGACCGGTTATTGATATACGACGGAAAGGTGGGCAGCGACGTCGAGCCTTGAGGGCAAAAAACACACGGCGTCGGCTCGAAAGGAAGTGGCCGTGCGAACCGTGGGCGTGGGAGATGTGCCGGTCAATTTCAGGCCCGGGCCGGGAGAGGGGCGCAGGACAACGGATCCGACAAGAAATCAGGAAATGAAACGGAGCAGGGCTGTCCAGACCGAAGGCAGAGCGCAGGCAATCATCGTGCGGGGGGCAGTTGGATGCAAAGTTGGGCGGGTTCGGCAGTGTCCCAAGTGTGACGATTTGCGGATGTCGGTGCGAAAGGGGCGGAGGTTGTGGTGCGAGTGCCGTCGAAGCTGTGTAGGTCGTCCGTTGCGATGCTTGCCCGGTCTGTGGGAGGACGATGCAGGTGTGCAGGTGGATTTGAGACTTCGGGTAGTGCACAAGATCGCAAACTCCAGTGTTAAGGCACGCTTGGCCGCGGCCGTCGAGGTTCGGGCGAGGGCTTTGCGGTTCCAGACAGTCTGTGCTTCGTCCGGGAAGCCGACCACCACAATTGGGGCGGTTGAAGATGAGGAGGGGGGTTGTGCGATGTCCAACGATGGAGGAGTTGCACAAGGGGGATTTCGAGCCAGGAGCAACCAAGAGGAGGCTGCTGTGGTCCCTCCCGCTGGCTTACCAGGTAACCCACGCTGGGAGGGAGGCCTGAAGACGGCCCGCCCGGCTTGAATCAGCCGGGGACCCACTTCTGCTGAACATCACGCAGCTCTCCAAGCTGACTTGCCCTGAACGAAATGAGGTGGTTTACTTTACAAAATCGTCCTTGGACGCACACGATTCGAATTCAACAGGGTAAATTGAGGGCTTCCATGGGCTGGAGTTTCTCCCACCGGGCTCGACAATTGACATCATCCCTCCAGTCAACGTCCACCAATCTGCGGCCAACGCAGAGCTGGCCATCCGGTTGTTATGACCTTCCCAAACAAAGAAAACGAGTAACTAGTGATAGACATTGTAATGTTATGGTCATGCGAGTTGGACAACACGCCTCAAAAGCCTACCGGAACCAGAACCAGTTCCAGGTTCTTCAGCTTTCCGATCTTGTTGATGTCAGGCTTTAGGACCGCTGGGGTTGTTACACGTGCGGCCAGGGAAAGAGAGAAAGAGGATGCAACATAATCACATAATTATTGCTTGCTGGTTGCCTTGAACCTTGGAAGTTCTCGAGCTTCAACCTTGGCAGAGCAGGTAACACAGCCTGCGACTCGAGCGGTTCGAGTTCACTGTGTACCCCTGCCGCATTAGAGATCAACGGGGAGATAGAGGGCCTTTCAAGGTGAAGGAGTGAAGAAACGCCTGGTGAGACAAGGCGCATTAGGGAATCCCATCGACAAAAGCAAGGGTGTGGGGGAAGAGATGTCCGTGCCCAGTTTCCAAGGTGGGCCTTCTCGCGCGACAGGCTGAATTCTGCCGCGGAGAAAAAAAAGGCGGTGACAAATGCCCTTTCAATTGCCGAAGTCTCGTGCCTGCGAAAAGATTGGGTAATCGGTAAGACGGTGTATTGTACGCGATTCTGACATCTCATCGTGATTACACCAACTTGGACTCAACCATCTTCAACAACCGGAATCTATCTTCGTCAGCCCCGGATTTTACATCACCACGAGCATAATCCATTATTGAATGGTGGGAAAGATTACTTAGCACAATCTCGGTTCATTCGAAAGTTACCAATACTTTGAAGTATCCCGACTCGCCAACCACAACTTCAATCAAGCAGCGAGAGTGGTCAACAGCTCTCATTTTACGACTCACCACTCATTGATTGGTGAGATTACGGACCGATACCAAAGCCGACGTGTTGCTATCCATTCTACACCCGGAACTTGAAATGCAGCCTTACCGCCGCGGGCCGTTCAAGGCAACGCCTGCAAATGTTCAATGTCAAAAATGCCTGAAACGAGATATGTACCCCATTCCATCATCCAACCCGGTTTCGCTCCTATTCTGACTTGCGCAGAACGCCACTACTCGTACGAATGCAAATCCGCGCCCCAAGAGCGGCCATACATCGCCCGGCCATCCCGCACTCAGCAGCTATCTAACCCCAAGCTGCTCCCAAAACTGGCAAGCGATACGCCCAATTTCTTGCAAGAGAAGTAAGTCAGCGGCCATCTGCCCAGCACCCTTTTGTATCATGCTGATACCGTCAATTAGGGAGGGCGTAGCCGACCAAGAGCTAGCCAAGCGAGAGGCCGAAAGGGCGCGCCAACGACAGCGCGAAGAGGACGACGATGCCGCGTTGAGGGAGGCCTCGCCTGCTCGGCGGGACCAAGGACGCAGGTCCCCATCCTACGACTCCGTCTCCAGCATCTCTACGCGGTCACCGTCTCCCGTGCCCCAGCGACGAAGCCACAGTCCCAGCCGCAGGGGCAAGCAGCGGGACTCGCGCAGCCCTTCACCTCGGCTTTCCTCACACCGCGGGCGTGGACGCGAACCATCCTACGACTCGGATGACCGGTATTCTCGCGGGCCGTCAGAGAGCCCGGAGCGCGGCTACCCAGCTCGGAATTCACGACCGCCACGATCCCTTTCTCCACGACGCTCTCCGTCTCCTCGGCGGGATTATGGCGGGCGCAGTCGTAGGGATACGCGGTCGAGGCGGGATTACTCCAGATCTAGGTCTCCTGTGGCGCGGGATGATAGAGGGGGCAGGGAAGGGGATAGACACGGGGCAGGTCGTTACCGGGAGAGGGACGACGAGGGCTATCAGGGCAGGAGGAGGAGCCCATCACCAGTCCCGGCACCGCCCCGGCGACCATCGCCTCCACGGGAGAGGAGCCTGAGCCCATTTAGCAAGCGCCTGGCGTTGACGCAGTCTATGAATATGGGGAGGTGAGAGGGGAGACGGGAGTGAGGAATTGGGGTATCATATATGCCGTACTCTTTCTAGGACCAATTTATAACCACACCCAGAACGTGTTGTGGTAGAAGAACAAACAACAGAGACCGGTTCTCGAAATACAATCCCATTGAAAGCGCCAAATCCATGCAGCCCCATCCTAATTAACCCCACCCATCGTATTTTTACGCTCCCATCCATCAAGCCATCCCAAACTCCTCCGCCTCAGCTTCTCTCTCCCTCCGATTCTCCTCCTCCTCCTCCCTCTCCCTCAACCGCGCCCCTTCCACAATCGCCGTCCCATCCAACATCCCATCAGCCCCGGCATCCCCATCCTGCCCATCCAACCTCCGCGATGACGATGACGATGACGCCGCCGCCGCCGCACTAGAAGAACCACCAGCCCCAGCACCCTCCGCAACAGCCTTCTTCTCAGCCAAGCGCTCCCTCACCAGAGCCGCAATCGCATTCTCCGTCCTCACATTCAACACCTCCATACGCGCGTTCAACTCCCGCTTGAGATCCCAATTCGGTTTTTTGGGCTGCAGCTTGAACAAGTCAATCGCAGCAGCGGCAGCAGTCCCAGAACCAGTCCCAGTCCCCGTATCATCCCCACCCTCGTCGGCGGCCCGCTGCCGCCGCGATTCCTCTTCTAGTTCCTGCGCTTGTTGCTCGAGGGTCGGACGCGCGAGGTTGAGTGTGGGCGGGGCTTCGAAACCGAGTTTGGGGCCTTTGGTTTCGGCGTCGTAGTTGCGGCCGGAGAGGTGCAGGCGGGCTACGTCTTGGGTTGGGGGGGTGGGGGCGGGGGCATTTTGTTGAGATAGGGGTTGGTTTGTGGTGTCTTGGATTGTGGTTGTTGTTGTTGTTGTTTCTGTTGCCGGGTCTGTGTCGTCGCGGTCGTCGGCTTCGGGCTCGGTGGGTTGTTTGCGCTTGAGGGATTTGAGTTTGGCCAGACGCGCTTTGCGGTCGTCGGAGGCGGCGCTGAGGGTCGCGTGGGAAGACATTTTTGGTGATGTTGCGGTGTGTTGTTGGAGTGGTCGTTGGTTGTCGCGTGGAGGTTGAAATGGAAGAGAGAGCTGTATGGTGTCTGGTAATTATGGAATGGAATACGCATTGGTACACATTACTGTTCGGTAATAAATATTATGGAGCGTCTTCTTGGTCGTGGACCCTTGCATACCCCACTATTCCCTCTCAGTCGCCTCCCGGGTAGAATTCAAATACACGATATTACCTCCCGAGAAATAAATTCGAGACCCTTTCCGCGACGAATTTTCGCCTGAACGACGACGAACACGACGATACCACAACTACAACCCCGGACCCCAGCCCGCCTTTGGCTCGCCCCCGATATACCGCGCAAGCTGGCTTGCACAACGCAGTCGACCAGCCGCTCCGCGGCGAGCGGCATGAAGCCGTAATGCTAGTACGCCGTCTCAAAGTGCTGTCGGCGGGGTCTGCGCCAGCACGATGGGCGGAACATGTAGCAAGTCTTCCGGCACCGGCCAGTCTGCCACCACCCAGTCCGCCACACCGGTCGTCCAAGCTCACTCCCCGCCAGCTAAGAAGGGCACAATGGCTACGGAACTCCAAACGCGTACCCGTCATTCGGCCCATACCGCCAGGGAACAGGGACTGGTCGGGGTCTCGTTACCGTGCCCATCGTCTTCCCGACCCTGACGCAACTGCCAAGGCGCCCGCATGGCGGTTCCCGCCGCCCAGGACACGCTTTCAAGAGCACTATATTGCGCTGGCGCGCCTCGAAAGGGTGCTCAAAGTTCCATTCGCCCAAATTCTCGACGGGTACTGGATGTGGGACAAAGGGGTGCGGGCTCTGTTTCGCAAGCTGGACGGCCACCATGACGATCCTCTACCCCCAGCGGAGCATGCTACGGCTCATTATGAAGCTCTTCGCCTGTTCGAGGACCCTAAGGAGATGTATCTGGCTTGGAAACAACTTAAACAGAGGACAAACCGGTGGAGAGGTTGGATGGAGATAATGCTGCTAGTCATGAACAAATACCCCGAGAAGACCGGGCTCATGCTCGAAGGACTACACGAGCCTATCGGCCCGCCAGTCTGGGGGGTTGCCGATGTTTTTACCTTCCTCGTTCGCTGGTCAACCGATCAGCAACAGCAAGAGAGCCAGCTTCCACGGCTGCTGCTCTTCCTACTACAAAACTCCGCGAGGAAGCGCTACCAGTTCCCACAGTGGACGATCGGCACGACCGTGTCGCTATGCGAGTCCGACGCCGCGGCCAGGATCTACGCGGCCCTCCTTAAGTACGGCCATCCTCTGCACCTCAACACGAAGCTCAAGATCGCCGGCCGCCTGGCAGGCGTTACCAAGTACAAGCTGCCCGTGCTCCGGATTCTTGAGGACGTGGTCGCGAACGACCCAGGCATCGAGATGGGCGACCGCCGCGCGGCCGCCCTGTCCACCGCGCTCCTCACGCTACCCGCTGAGTGGAAGGAAAGGCGCGGGTCGCCGACCGACGTCAACGTCGTCACCGAGGCCTTCGACCGCATCGTGCGCCTCGACTTCCGCCAGAACCTGGTGACCTACACGGCCATGATCAAGGCCCTGTGCGAGGCCAACCGGCTCGAGGTCGCGTGGCGGGTGTACGATGTCTTGCGCGATCAGGGAATCCAGCCTGATGCCGTGCTTATCTCGACTCTGCTCAACGGATCGACGTCCATGGCCAGCCTGGAATCGGTCACCCGGCTGGTGCGCGAGACCGAGCTAAAGGTTCTGCGGCAGCCATCCATTGGGAAAGGCGTGGTGTATGCCGTCTTGCTCGCCGTCACGAACGAGGCAGTGTATGCCAAGCCCGCCGGGACAAAGGTCGTTCAGCTCCCGGCCTTCTACCCGACGCTGCAGGTCTATGCCAGACTATTCGACCTGGCGCCCCTGCAGACGCTTATCCCTATCGATCTGCAAAGAGTGCTCGACGGAACGGAGCCAACAATACCTCCGCCCGCGCCCGTATCTGAGGAAGAGGGAGAACAAGGCTGGGCCTGGCAACGAAAACTCCCGAATCTGCTCGACGCATTGCCCCCCACGTCCCCCAAGCATCTAATAGAACCAAGCAACGCGACGTTGGGCTTGATGGTATCGGGCTATCTCAAGACCGTCACTGCTTCGGGCCCTGTCATGGCGCTCTTTACCCACTTTCGAACCCTGGTCAAGAACCGAGACCCCGTTGCCATTGAAGTCTTGAGTTCGGGGTCGCTTCTTTACGACGCTGTTCTCACTGTTCTAGCCCTGCACCCCGACATGCTGCCTACAGTGGTGGACATTATAAATACCATGATCGAGGAAGCCGCAGGCTCTGTCGAGACCTTAGTCGAGGACGACGTTGGCTCGGCTGACGTTATGACCGAGGAGGTCGGTGGCTCTTCAGCCGACGCCCAGGAGGACGTCTCCAACGAGCAGGCCGTCCCCTATGAACAGGACCTCCCCAACGACAGTGAGACGAACAACACCCCCCACGAAGCCGACGTCAGCTCGGCAGCCACGGTCGCACCAACACCCACCTTCCACCCTCCGCCCAGTGTCAAAACCTGGACAACCCTCCTCCGCGCCTTCGCCCGCTACCGCGGCCCATCCGAAGCAGCCCGCGTCATCTCCGCCATGCGCCAACACGGCGTCGAGCCCAACGACATCACCTGGACGACCCTACTTCTCGGCTACGCCCGCTCCCAGCGCACGTCCGAGGTCATGGCCGTTCTCAACGAGTTCGACAAGGCCGGCTGGGCCCCTGGCGCCTACCTCGTGCGTGCTGTCTCGCGGCTGCAGAACCCGCAGCCTGTTTTGGAACGTCTTGAGGAGCGCAGCGCTATGCGTGAGGATGAGCGGTGGCGCGAGATTCATGAGATTCTGGATGAGCTTGCTGTTCCTCCGAGGGTGGAAAGGGTGTCTAAGGAGGAAAAGGTCACTAGTGCCCAGTTGTTGGCGGCTTCGTCGACGCCGTTGACGTCGTCGGTTGAGGAACCAGACATCCCTTCTACCTCGCAGACTGAGCCAATCCCTAAGACCAATTTCGACGTCGAGGGCCAGACCCAGGACGAACCCAGGCTCGAAAGCATCGACCAGCCCCTGCAGACTCCCCCAATACAGGAGATTTCCAACTCCGACCACACCATTGACGACGCTTCATTCACCTCCCCAACCACCACCAAAACCACGTCCCCAGCACCCACCACCACCACCACTCCTACTACTATTACTACTACAACCCCCACCCCCCGACCAACCTCCAACCTAAACACCGACAACCCCTTTCCCAAAGACCGCAAGAGTTTCTACGAGGACCTATACGAAGAATACAGCCAAATCAGCGAAGACTGGGAAGCATACACCGCCTCCTTAAACCCCTCAGCCCAAGCCAAGCCCGAGCCACCAGGACTACCGCCCGTGCTTGACATCGAGACCAAACCAAAGCCAACCCGGACGCCAGAACCCCCAGCAGCCCCAATAGCCCCAGCAGCCCCAGCAGCTCCAACAGCCCCAGCAGCTCCAACAGCCCCAGCAGCCCCAGCAGCCACACCAACAACAACAACAGCAGCAGCCCCTCGAAGAAAAAAGATAACAAAGAAAGAACGGAAAGAACTCGAACGAGGTGGCAGGGCAGACACAGATGAGGATATCCTGGATTATCTGACGGCGTATCACAGGCCAAACAAGAATCTGGAACCGAGGAAGACAACGACGGGTAATGGGGAGCGACGTGGGAGGGATGATAGTAGGGATGAGGAAGTAAACCATCAGGCTGGAAGGAGTGGGAGAGGTGGACAGGGGGGAGAAAAGACCCGCGGAGGGCGGCGGGGGTGAATTATAACATACAATGACACGACAACAAGATAATAGAACGAGAGCGAGCGGGAAAGAGAAAGAGAGATGGGAAAGCCAACAGCAGAGAGGGGGCGGTACGAAATGACGTATCAACTGAATAACAACACCACGAACGGGCAACGGAACGACATAAAACGAACGATAGAACAGGGTCAAATGGCAAGGGCGGAAAGGGAAAAGGGAAAGAAAGGGAGGGGAAGGTCAAAACACTCGGTACATAAACACATCGCAATCGCAATACCCCGGCATCGAAATCTAGACGGGACATCCAGACATGTATTATTTCACATTATTGTACTATTACACTACCTACCTCTACTATATACACTGTACCATACATCATCATTCTGGATAATACCACACCCAATCGACGGCAAAGTTTCTCCTATTGTTCGTCCATTCATTGTTTTCAAGCACAATACATTTTACACTCTCCCTCCTATAGGACACCCCGCAAGTCCTCGATGCCGTTGAATCTCTCGTATTACCCACGGTTCATATCTACCAAACAAACAACCCCCAACTTATTCGGTAGCTCTCAACCCAACACCTCTCCGAAAAAAGCCACCCAAATAACTACTACAAAACCCAACCTTCCAACCCTTCTCATTTCTGCATATTAATTCCACTTCATTATCAATTATGGCCAAGTCAGTCATCCTCCAAACCACATCACATCCACCCGTACGCCCTTACTCTCATATCCAACCCCCCATCTGCCTCTCCGTCTCCTCCGGGCTAGGCGACAAAAACTCATCAATCTCCGACAGCTTCTCCTCCGCCGTCATCCGTCGCTGGGGAGTATTCGGTTGGTAACCCACCGATGTCGACTCGACTTCCATCTCCGCCACCAATCCCGTCGATGCCGTCGACATACCCATAGCCGAGTCCGCACGGGTGGAGCGTGTCGCTGCCGAGCTGGTTTGGCTACCGTGGTGGTCATGTCCGTATTGGGGAGTTTGTTGGAGGTACTGGTGGGCGCTCGGCCCCCTACTGTGTCCTTCGCTGTGTCCTTCGCTGTGGCCGATGCTGCGTTCGCTACCCTGCGTGCCAGCCGTGCTGCAGATGGAGGCCGAGAACGAAGCCTCGGACGTGTTAGACCGGGAAATGTGCGGTTGGTGCCTGTTTCTGCGGTGGTTGATGCGAGCGGATGAGGGGGGGTAATCTGTGAATGATCCTCCCATGGGCGTCGGGACTGGGCTGGGGAGAGCGGATGGTGCCCGGAGAGAAGGCGAGGGGTTGGTGGATGACGGGGTGCGCCACGTTGGTGGTCGAACCCAGCGTCCATTGCCGCTGCCGCCGCTGCTGGGGTTTCGCGAATGGCTGGGTGCGATGGGCGGCGTGGGTAGTGGGCGCCGGATGGGTGGTAGACCAGAGAGGTCGGGCTCATGATAGAGAAAATAGTCGGGGTCTAAGCATTTCGGCGTGGAGGTGCTTAGGTCCAGTGACGGAGGCGGAGGTCGCTCGGGAAATGGCAGAAGCTGTTCCGGTCCCGAACTGAGGCTGTAGGAACCTAATGTGCCACATATAGGAGTCAGTGGATCCAAGATGAATCCCTCGCTATCCTCTCCCTTCGTTACAACAGCGTCCTCGACGGCCTCAATCTTCCCGAGCCCTTCGCCGTATATCTCCTCATCGTCAATCCACAGCTGTTTCCGCACATAGTTCCACAACTCGGCCACCTCTTTCGGGTCCCGTATCTCCGACTCTGGCGTTGTTATCGATTCTGATGTTCCTTGTAAAGTAAGGCCGCTTGTCGTGCTTTCCAGATGCTGTACTGGCGCCGACGCAACCTGCTTCTGTGACAAGGGCCCTTTGTTTACCTCCTGTTCATGCCCACCATCATGTTTCTCTGATCCCCTATCATCTTTTGTCACCTCCCCGACCTCTTCCTTCGCCTCAATTCGGCGAACCTTAGTTTCGGTGTTGTTCTCGAGCTTCTCGTCCAAGCATCGTCCCAGTGGTCTGTTGTTGAAGTAGGATTTGTGCCCCAACAGCGTCAACGAGTAATCCTCAACTTGGTATTCGGTCTGTTGCGAAGTTGAAATTGGTGTTATCTTGCGAGAAGGCGGCTTTTGTTCCTTCTCCGAAGCTTGGTGTGTCGGGCTTGGTACTGACTTGACGGCTTTGTGGTCGGTTTCCTGGTCGTCTTTCCCACGACCACCTGCTTTTCTTGTGGTTGCCACTGGTCCACTCGATGCTGGGCTCTGTGAGGTGGCTGCCGAGTTCTCGAACAGAGTAACTATGGATCGCACCGAGCGATCGGCTGTGTTCCTTCCTGACCCCATCCCTCTTCTGGCGAGATTTGATGAGAAACTTGCGGGGAGTGCGCGCCTTTCGATTTTTCTGTCGAGGATGCCGCTGGAACCTGTCGTGGGTCCCTTCTCCCCGGTTCTGTCTGAATCCGGCGTGTTATCGGCCATAGCGGACCTACATCTAAGATATCAGATGTGAATGGCCGGGCCGAAGTGGCCCGAAGTTGCGAGTCTGAAGGTTTCCGGAAGGTGCTAGGCAGAAGGTGATGGTGTGGAAAGAGAATGCGCGCCTTCCGCAAAGTTTCTGATCGAGTTTACCACCACGATCTCAACAGGAAGGCACGACTTAGTCCGAAGCCTAACACAAAATAACAAATTGGAAATTGCCAGCGCTGTTCAAAATCCCAATTCACTCAATCTTTTGCTCTTTGACTACCTCCCACCATCCTCCAACCACACTCCTAGTCCAAAAGGCATGTCCTGCAGCTGCTCTCACACTTACCCCATAAACAAAAGAACCAATAAATAACAAACACCAGTCGCTTTGAAGTTTGTTATGTCTTACGTTCATAGCCTCAACGGTCGCGGCGGGAACTTGCCTCCTATGGCTCCAAAATTACTTCCCACCACGCCGAGAGAAGTCCTACGCGAAACCATGCCGCCGTTGAAGTTTACAAAGCTTTTCTAGAAATTGACTTAGTCTTAATTCGTGCTCTAACTAAGAGCTGCAGAAACTGCAATCAAGAAACTGGACTTCAAGTCAAAAGGGGTACGGATAACTCCCCTGATTCTTTGTTGACTTTGGGACCCACTTTCTTTCTCCTTCCTCTCCACATGTCTGTCTGATTGAGTACAACTGATGATGTTTAACGTTCAAAACTGACAAGTTGAAAGTCGTAGATACTTCCCGTAGATGAGCACTATCAGAGTTATTTAAGCTTCTTTCTTACTCCCAGATTTTCAACCTAGGACGACACCGATTCCAAAGTCTCTTGCCACTCAATGGTTGGTTGCCCCTGCCAACGCGGCGGTGCACCACACATCACAAGCCACACCAAATGAACCTTCAATTACCTTCAGAACCTAGGAACCTTCTGCATAGTATCGCTGTTTGCGGATTGGATAGCGCCGGACCTCACACACGCAAAATTCTAATTTGCATCGGCATTGCCGAAAGGTTCTTACTGTTTCCCCTACTAGCATTGAAATTTGAGGCTACACAAACTGACAGACTGACAAGACTGCGACACAATAGAAGACGCCAGAGGGAAATGTGCCAAGAGAACAACACCCTTGTACGTCCTCTTGAAGAATGATGCTATCATACCCTCTTTAGTTAGCTTGAACTTCGAACGAGACGAAAGTCCTACCCGATTGGTATCTAAGTGTGACCATGAGCATATCGCCATCGTCAATTCCCACGGCGGCCGCTTCCGTGTTATTCCGCCCCTTGCTCGTGAGTCGATTCAACCCTGGGGCCGTTTCGGCCTCGTGAGTGGCGAATGTGCGATGGTTGATGAAGCAGGGGTTGGTCCTGAGAACCTTCGCTAAACTCCCAACTGCATATCATGTTTCCCCATTCGGACATCGCAGCGCATACTTCTGCTGCCGCGTGGGGCCGCTCAGCCACAAGAAATCTTTCTTGTGGTCACCAGACATGCACTGTCCTTCACCCTCTGCTCGTTCGATTCCACCACGAGAGCGAGACGCGGCCGACGGAGCCCCCAAAAACCAGTGTCAGCAAAACAAGTCGCGAAGTCGAAACCGGCGGCTCTCTGCTTCTGATCGTCATGGTTTGTGTAACACGGGCTAGATGGGCCGGGGGTGATTTTCCTCTTTCATTCCATTTTCCTTACAGGGATCTCGACGAGAAACACCACACCGAGGGGACCCCGCGATTGGGTATTGTCGTCGGCGAACACTACTGGGCGATCTCTGGCGGACTGCGACCGTGACATTTTGACGGCATCGAAAGAGAAGAGGGTGTGGGACATGGGGCCTGACCTCGCGTTGTACAGACTCGCGCCTTCGGCGGTGCGCGCCCTGCGCGCCCTACAGGCACCGTGCCCGTATTGTGTAACACCTAATATGCCGCCCAAGAAAAGGTTCGGCATTGGGGAAACACCCGGCACCGCCACGAGGTGAGGTCCCGGTCGCAGAATGGCGGGTGCCGCGGGAGATCGGAAAGGGCAGATTGCGGAGTCTGGTTGCGCCAGCAACCTTCTCATCGAACGTCTCGTCGTTGCGGTGTCAAAGTGTAAAATTTATTTTGCCTGGTTGGTTGTTGCTCGTTGACGAAACGAACTGTTTGTGGATTGTGGATCTGCAATGCTGGGCGCCCCGGGCCTAGTCGAGACCCATCACGGCAAGATGAACCACATCACCTGCGTCCAGAGATCGAGCAGCAGCACAGTGGTCGATGGGAAGCAAAGAAACTGTTCTCGCTTTCCGCCCCGTATCTGTATTCTGTATGGCCAGCTCAAGAAACTAGGCCCCAACAACGGGCCGCTGGAGCATCCATCCCTGAACCAATGATGGGCCGTCTGAGGCCAGATGCGGGAGGGCGGATTCGGCCGGGCCGGGTTGGTTGTTGGTTTGGCTTCCCGTTCCATTCTTCACTTTCTTCGGCCCCCCCAAAAGCGACCTCACAAGTGACCATCACGACCTTTCCCCTCTCCACCATGGCTCTGGGAACCCAATAACATGCTTCAACTCCTTAAAACAAAGTGATAGTGTCACCGCCCTTTTACAGCCCCCCTCTCTCCGGCTTTCCGCCCTTCCGCCTTCCGCCTTCCGCCTCTTTTCCACATCGAGTTTTCTCATACCGCTCCATTTTCACCACCCCCCACCTGCTCGCAACTTTCCCTCTTTGGTACGCGCGGACAGATGCTGTGCTCTCCCTACCCAGGCGGCAACCCGCATAACTGCTTTATGCAGCCATCACCCAACATGGTGCGCCCCCTGCCAGCAAGGCGTCAGTGGCCCTCTCTGGCAATGGCCCTCTCCGGCAGTGGGCCTCTTCAGTAGTGGCCCCGGCCGGGGAGGGGTTAGTTACCCACCCCAATGCTGCTGCCCCCGGACAGGGCAGAATCTCAGGTGGTCTGTATGTAGGTACTGGGCTGTACCACGACGTTACAGCGTCGCGCACCGCAGCACTCCAAATAGGACCTACATCATGACGGGCAGGAGCAATAAAGAAGAGAGGCGGGGGCGTAGCCACTCACTCATACCCTGGAATATCCCCCGTCGTCGGAGTAGACAAGTACAAAATACACAGTAGTTAGACAGGTAAATATCAGGGCGAGGACAGAGAGGGGCGCGAAAATGCCGACTGACAAATGAAGCCCCGACCGAATTGGGGCGGAATTATGGAGAGATGCGAAGACAAGAGAGAAGTCGAAGGTTTCCCGTCTAAAACACTTGGGTCCGAGGCAGGCAAGACACGGAGGGTGACACACACCGAGACACACACACACAGAGAGAGAGAGACACCGCACATGCCCTCACTCCCTCACACTTCACACTCGCACACACACACGCGCGTGTATGCATGCAAAGGACTTTTTCTCCCCGCTATCAGCGGCCCCTGTCCTGCCTGTCAAGTGTACAACTGAAGTTGATGGCGCTGATGATCCTCCCCCTTTTTACACCAAAGAAACCCCCTGCCGCTGGGTTCATCGATGCAACTTAGGCGCTAACTAACCCTTGGACTTTTTAGTCTTCTTTCCTCTGCCCCCTCACACGTTTTAGTTCCGACCTGTTGGTGATACGGAAGCATGAAAGCAAGGCAGACAGGGCAGGGCAGACAAGAACCTAGAACGTGGACGCTTAGTAGCCAGAAAAAAGTGGATGTCTTCGAGCACACTGTGCAAGAAAGATGAGAAGACCGGCCGGATCTGTGGTCCTCGGCGATTACTCGATCCAATTACGTACAGTGGGTACCCAGACCTACATACACACACTCGCACATACATACGAACATGAGAATTAGATGGAGCGGGTGGGGGAGGAGCCGAATGGTTGGGACTCGAGACGATTTGTCTGTGTCATCACGTTCTTTTAGGCCGGTATTATTATGGGGAAAGGGAGTCACAAGCAAGGGCCATAGGCTGGTCGAGGATGCCGAGGCGTTTTTTGATGTAGGTGTCAATGTATCATTACAAATTGTCAGTATTTGAGAGATGGATGTGTTGGTAGATAGGTGTTAAATAAGGCAATCATGTTGCTCTGCCAAGCAAGCTCTAAGGGAGAGACGGAAAGAGTAAAGAAAATAAGAGAAAATAAGACACAGAGTGGAAAGAGAAAAAAAAAGTAGCTAGAACGTGATAGAAACGAAGTGCTAAAAAGTATCAAGAAGAAAATCGTAACAAGGTATCACTGTAAGTTTGTCATGCCTCATAACCCATCCGGTACCGAATGACCCTGCCCAGCAACGCTGAAAAAAAAAGCCCAAGCAAGATCTAAAACCCAAACCCAACCCTTGTGTTGTTGATGTCCACTGTCCCCCGCCGCAAAAGTAGTTTTTGCAATTTTTGATGATGACATGTGTAAAAGATGTGTAAAATGTAAGAGAAAAAGAAAAGGAAAGAATACAAAAAAGAACAGGAAAATGAGAAAGAAAACGTAAGAAAAAGGTAAGAAAGGAAACAAGCAACGTAAAAAATATTACTCTAGGTCGTCCTCCTCGCCTTCCGCATCCTCATCCCCATCCGCATCAGCGTCAGCATCGAGATCCTCTTCTGCATCTTCCTCCTCCTCCACCTCGTCCTCCTCATTCTGATATTGAACTCCCGATCTACCCATGGCCAACGCCCCGGGGGCATTCACAACCACATTTCCGCCCGGGCCCCTCTTCAACGGGCTCCGGAGTATCCACTTCCCCCTTGCTGTGTCTTCCTCTCCATCTCCTGCCTCGGCATCATGGCCAGCCTCGCTCTCGCGTGGCACAATAATAGCCACCTCTTTGCTAGACGCCCATTGCACAAGCGTCGGGTCTTCCTCTCCACCGAAAACCACGACACCCTTGCCATTCGGGCTGTTAGGTGACCCACGAGCCAGCTTGCTACCGCTACCGGCGCCGCCAGTCCGAGTCCGGTCCATGTGCTTTGCAACATGCTCCATGCGCAGGTTCCAGGCATTTTCGCCGCGGAAAGCCTCTGCTCCACAGTCCGGCACGGGGCAGCGCATCAAGGTGGGCAGGTGGCAGCGCGGGTGCATGGCTTTAGCCTGGAGCTGTTTGACATGATCGTTCCATTTGGCTTCGAGGGTCGCGGTAGCCGGGTCTTTGTTGTTGGAATTCTTGCTACCGGCGTGGGACTTGGAAGTGGAAGAGGACGACCGTTTGCCGGGTGGTGGTAGGATGTCTTTGAGTTCCGGGGGAGCGTGCATGCGCTTGAGGTGCTGCGTGTAGAGATCTTTGCGGTTGAAGATATTGCCGGTAGGGTTTGTGGAACCCGGTGATGTAGCGTGCTGGGGGTGTTCGGGATTGGAGTCTTTGGCGTTCTCGCAGGTGCCTTCTTGACAGGCCCAGTAGTACAGGAGGAGATGTTGGGTCAAGACGTGACGCTTCCACTCGTTCTTGGTAGCAAAGGTTGATTCACATCCGGCAAAGTCAAAGACACAGTTGAACGGACGATGATGCTCCTTTTTGATGTGTGTCTCGAGTTCGCCCCTGGAGGGAAAGGCACGCTTGCAGTCCGGGCAGTTAGACCGAAACTTCCCGGCAGAAGAGGACGGGATCGTGCGTGGAACCGTGGCTGGGGCTGGGTTGGTCGCCCGGGCTCGGGTCCGGCGCGAAGGAGATGAGGTAGCAGCAACAGTCGTTGTTGCCTTGGCTCCCCGTCGTCCCGTTGCCCGGGCGTTCGACTTTCGCCTCTTGCGGGGTTGATAGTCCTCATCACTGTCGTTCTTCGGCCGTTTGGCTGACACATCCCCAGGAAAGTGCGCGGTCTCCTCCAGTGGGGGATATTGGCTCATTGGCCCGGTGTCTTCCTTGTCTGTGACGGGCATCTGCTCGAGCTGAGGGTTCCCGGGCCCAAAGCCCACAATGGGGCTGGTGTCATAGTAGCCGGCCGTGGTATTGAAGTCGATCAGACCGGCGTCACTCTCAGAGTACTCGGGCGGTTGCTGGTTGGGGTTGATGTCGAACGGACGAACAAAGTTGGGAAAGTTGGGACCCATGGCGCCGAATTGCATGGCATGTGCGAAACCTTCTAGAGGTAGCGGGGCCTGGGATGGCGAGAACAGGGTCGTGTCAGGAGGCGTGGTAGGGTAGTTGTCGTAGTACGACTCGGTGTCGGAAGGGCTGAGGACGTTGCTAGACGTATGTTCGAAGGAAGGGAGAGGGCTGGTGAAGCGGGGATGCGAGGTGATCCCTGCGGCCGTCTGGATGGGTGAATGGTCGCTCGGTGTCCGGACAGGAATCTCGGGAGCAAGGAAGATGGGCTGATGGTTCTCCTTCGAGGCGTGATGTGCGGGAGCCGCCCAGCTGTGGTGGAGGTAGGAGTCCGATGGGGTGTTGGAGAGGCTCGGGTCGATACAGCTCATGCTCGAGATCCCAAAGTTGCTTTCTAGCTCGTGGTAGGAGGGATTCCCAAAAGGCATATCTTCGGGGGAGAAGGCAGCGTCCCCGAAGGCGTGAGGGTTGGCCATGGTGGGAGGGATGTCGAGCTTTATTTGTCTCGACAGCGGGCCGTGAATCTCGTCGACAGCGTGCCCAAGCGGCGGAGAAAGGGGGACAAACAAAAAGAGAGCCCGGTAGGCGGTGACGGCGAGGTGTCGAGGCCCGGTGAACTCGAGAGAGACGGAAGGTGGGTCAGGAGAGGATAGTATCAGGAACTCTTCCTCGGGTATGAGCTTTGCGGCGGCGGGGGCGGTTTATGTATGGCTGAGGTACGGGATCTGGGGCTTTCCCATCGACTCTACTCGACCGAAAGCGATGCGTCGATCGAAGGGGGAGTGGGACATGGAGCGTTGGAGGAAGGAAAACGGGCGCTTGACTGACCAGGGCATACTCAGGGAAATAGTTCCTGAGCTGAGTGGCCGATCTGGACGTCGACGTGCAAGTGAGAAAGCCTGGGCCGCCATCTTCCTCCTCCCACCCCCTACACGCCTCTCTTGAAATCGACTGCGTCTCCGTAGGTCTTGTGCGCAGTCTCCAGGCCCCTGCTCTTATCCCACACCCCGTTTCTCCCCTTCCGCACCCCCCCTAGCCCCCGGTTTCCCTCGCCCTCCACTCTTCCCTTGAGCAGAGCCGCATCATGTAGCTCCCCAGCTTATTTTGGTGGATCGGTACTAAAATTCACCCTCGACGGCACAGCGCGGCATGCTGTGCGGGGCTGAGCAGCCATTCGTGGTACGAACTCTTAGCACTTTGACTGCACCAGTCGAATTGCGTTCCTTGCACCCCTGGAGACCGGCGTTGGCGTTAGTGTGTGGATCGACTTGGCTGTGCCGCACACGCAGAAGGCCGGCCTGAGAGGTCAAATGGGTGGCCTTGTTTTCTTGGAGGCCAAGGGTGTGTGTGTGTGTGTCAGTGTGAGTGAGTGATTCCCCAACTCGGTCTCTCTTGCCCTCATTGACTTTACCTGTCACACCTAGTGCAAAGACCCTGACAGGGAAAGACGGCTTTCACACTCACGTCCCCGCCCCCACTCACCGTCGTAGACCCCCACTCCCCATAAGTGGATGGGCATTGGACGTCTTTGATGCAAGACCGTTCCGTCGTTCGCGGCCCATCGCGTTCGATATGTGGTCCCGCAACGCTACAAGGTTAAGCCCTGCCCGACCTTGAGCCTCGAGGTTTGTCGAATATTCTCCATGGATGGAGCGAAACTGGACTGGACGACGCAGGACAGCGCGTGGGCGCGCCTTGGCTGGCTCGCAGAATCGCCGATGGCCTGTTGCGGCCCACGCCTGGTGATGCGGTTATGCAGCAGCAAAGACGAGGCAACTCAACGGCGGTGAAACGCAACGTTAGCTAGTCCGGCCCAACTGCATCACCAACTGCATCAGGCGCAGGGTCCCTAAATTTGTGAACCATGTCAGGAGAGCCGGTTGCTGGCGGGTCTCAACAATCTCCGTGGCCGCGGATTGTGACCCCGCAGAATGGCTGATGAAATCTGATCAATTGATGGTGATGGGTGGAAGAAAGTCCCCCATACGGCACCTCCCCCCGTAAAAATTGGTCGCATCTGGCGAGTTCACTGGTGGTGTTGTTCGCAACTGCCCCGGAAATCACCCCGAGGTGTGGAGACTCAGTCGACTCATATTTCAGTCGTTGTTGCCCTTGTTAAGCATTGTGTGCATTGTGTTGCAACGCCCCTTCCACGGTGACCCCGGTTTGGGTTTCCCGTGATCGCTCTTTCCCCGAGAAAAAGTCCCATTCACCGTTTTCTTGTCTCTGCAATTTCCTTTCCTTCTTTTTCCTGACCCTCCATCACCACTCGCGCATGCTTGAGTTGCATTTTGTCTCTTGCTTGCATTGCGTTCTGCGTTTCCCGTCTGACGCCTTGCTCCATATTGACCGCTTGCTGCTTTCTGCTTGCTGCTTGCCGTTCTGGCCGATTGATGTTCGGTCGCCATGCATGGCTCGGTATGTAGCAAACTCCCGTCCCGTGGAGATGACGCAGACACCGACTCGGCAAGCACCCGGCTCAAGGTTGGCGACTTTGCTCCTCAACCCGCGTTGTGGCACGTCACGCGGCGAACGCCTTAAATCTGGGGTTGTTCGCCCGACCACTGTGAGAACACCAGGAAAGACGGGACGACTTCCGTATTCCTCGCTCCCGGCTGTGGGCAATCTCTCGCCCTGCCCAGGTGATGATGAAGCGCCTCCCATTGGGCACCTGCATCCCGATTTTGGTTCTCAGCCTCCCAGCGCCCTGGATCTGCCGGCTTACGACCCTTACGAAGTTACGACAGATGCACGGGATCTAGGACCCGTTCAGGGTAACATCATGGAGACGGTCCCTATTCCGTTGTTGCGCCGCTGAGCTCAGTGGGGAAATTCCCTCTCGCGGAATCCAGCCAGGGCACACCTCAAGATCGAACAGTTGCGGAGGAAGAGAGATGCTGCCATTCCGCCCCACTCCCCCCTCTCTCTTCCTCCCACCCGGCGTGCGCAGCATTCCACTTCCAGGTTGCATATTCCCCAGCGCGTCAAAGTCGCGCCGCTTCCTTTCCGTCTTCCGGCACTGATTCTCAGAGGCCACGCGCGTACTTCTCGATCCGCTCTCGTCTACCGACCGTGCCCCTCCCAGACTGCCCCCGGCATACTCTTACAAGTACTGCAGTACCGCGCGGAACTCATCATCCCAACTCTGAGAGGTCGCCGATCGGCTGGGGTGCGGCACGGTTTGGGCCCCAACATGATACCTACATAAACTAGTATGTTTCTTGGGCCAATCCCATCATTACAGACGGGAGAAGGTTGTCTGGGTGGCTATTCTGTGTGTACCGGCAAGCGCTTGGGGCTGTCTTGTCTCTCCCGGTGCCATGGTAAAGAGGTCCCTTGACAAGGGTCGAGAGACAGACGACGGGCTCCTTTATTCACAGCACGGGACATTCCGCCCAACAAACCATCACAGGATTTTCGCTCGGGCACCACCTCGCGTCGCTTAGTTTGTCGAGCTCCCCGTTCCAAGACCTCAGAAGCCTGCTCACCGACCTTTATCCCCTTTTCTCGAGATGCCTCGCCAATAAACCCTGCGATCCCGGATCGGATTTTATACTTTGGCCCGGAGAAGGCGAAGGGGAAGCATCAAACTAGACATCAAGCGCAGTTCCCGTCAGATGCTCCGTCCGGGCACTATGCTCCATGCCGGTTGAACCTGGACCCTCTCAGAGGACAGCACCCCCGCCGGTCCCTGCGCGTAACGGGCATGCCCGATGCAATCTTCCCAGTTCCTGCTTCCCAAATTTCCGTGCATGTGGTGGTCGAATGGAACAAGCGATCCGCGCCCGTCCCGCTGGCTTGGAGTCTGAAGCCCGCAGTTCCCCACAGGGGATTCTCCACAAGTCCCTAACTTACCGCTTTTGGCCAACCACGCCAACCCCAGCGGCCCGCGCAATTCTTGAGCCCATGGCACTCTGTACACTAGACTCTATGTACACTAGTGTAGGTAGGTAACAAGACTAACTATCCGTAGGACATCCAGATACCAGTGCGTAATGTACACACGACAGACAACGATACTACCTCAGAGTACAACGTCGTCCCAACCGCATTTCTTGAAACACTGCGCCGCGCCACAACCGTTCAGCTCCGGATTCCCGAAAACACAACAGCAAAACCGCCAAATCACGATCGGTCCGCCACAAATTTAGAGCGCAAGATAACCAAAGCAGCACCAGGTGGTCCCGCAACTAGGCGTTTACCTAATACCCGACCGAGTCTGAGCCCGTCTTGACACCATGACTGAGACAAGCTGCTCCGTGCAGCCAGCCACGCGGTTACCAAGCCAATCAGGGCCCCTTGATCGTTTGCTTCTTGTCTCGCACTTCGCAACTCCACTATCTCCGCGTGCTCGTCGAAGACTGCTGGAATCTTCGTTCTTTTCTCATCCGCGATCGCCGGGCTTGTTTCCCCCGCCAGTCCAGCCCCAAAGGGCCGACACAAGACATGATTGCAAACCACGCTCAGGGCATGCCAGACCATGTCTTGCGTGTAATCAGCCCCCGGCGACCGCTGACCAACTGACTGGCTAACCATTCGACCCGTTCCGCTGATGGTTGCATATCACCCGCCCCATCGGCCCCTGCATATGCGGCAATGTTGGGGAACAGACTCGGTGCTGCTTTTTTGGTGGGATGGAGGGTTCTGAAAATATCCCTTCTGTCTCCGTACCGCCGATGCTCATTTGGCGGTTGAGAGTTGCCGGGACCAGTCAGCGAACCGCTGCGTTTGTCGGGACTGGGAGGCGCTTATGTGTCCCTGTCCCATGTGAGGATCGGGCACAGCAGCGCTCCCCATAAAATATTTTTGTTTATTCTGATGGGCTTGGACAAGCTAAGGACGAACTAAACGGTTCCGTCCTACCGGCCCGACTCTGCGACCTCCCGCCGCCACGCTAACTCTCGTCTAGCGTTTCCGAAAATCATCGCCATATCGTCATCCTGCACCCTCAGCTTCTTGTCTCACCCTGATGGCAAGTTCTCACATTCACCGACAGCTCTGGGGTTGCGTGCGTCGAGAGAAATGCAACGCTCTGGGCGGGAAAGCTGACACCGAATGTGACGGACGGGATAACATTGCTGCCCTCACTGTCCTCACTGGGAGGTGAATGCCGAGGGGAGAGATCACTTCCTCATTCTCCTCCCCTTGCATAATTATCGCGTGGGAACGGGTCCCCCCTGGTTGTCGTTTCCACGCGGGTGGCTGGCAATACCAGATCGTCGGGGCATACACAGCGCTCCGATTCACCCACCGTTGCCACCCATCCGCCAAATTCGCTTCCTTCCCGCTGGCGTACCCGTGTCGCGCACACGTTCTTGTCTCTTCTCCTTCCCGCTCACACTTCTCTCCACGCCGCTTCCGCCCACCTGTTCGCCCGGTTGTCTGCCCGCTGGCTCGTCTAGCTAACGTTACCCGTCTCCCGAGTATTCACTCCCGCACAGCACGCGGAACGTCCGGCCATCCAAACAAACCCTCACCCCCTCGCGATCCCTTCATCCCTCCGTTTTCCCTCCCGATCCAACCCTACCAATCTCCGCTGTGAAAACCTTCACCATCGGTACCGTTCCCCGGCAATCTCACGGGCCCCTCTCAGCCAACCACCCCTCGTCCAAAATCCACAACGTGAGGAAAACCACCCACCAACCTGACCTCCCCGGTCTCTGATCCGTTGCCCCCCCCTTTTTTTTTGTTCTCCCCTCAAACTAGGAAACCAACAGATCCAACCCCAAGATCCCCAACCAACCATATCCCCAGCAGACGATACACCCCATCACCTCACCATCCCAGCCCGTTTTGTTGCCGTAGTATCTTGTCTCTCTCTCACACACACGCCCTCACGCCCTCACCAGGAACCCTGGCCTTCGCGTTTATTTTTTGGGTTTTCACCGGTTTTTTTCTTTTCTTTTTTTAATTTGTTCCGCAACCGCCTGACCAAAAGGGCCTCCTCCTCCAATACCACTTTGCCACATCATACCTTGCCTTCCAACATGTCATAGAATAAGAATAGTTAATTTACCATATTTACTACCGTACACAGTAGGGGAAGGAGGGTAGCCATTCGATGTGTCGATGTGTGACAATCTACCCGCTCATCTACCCTCTCACCTCTCCAACTATCCATTCATGATCTTGTGTACATGAGACCCGCCCGTCTGTTCACCCATCTTCCCCCCCCAACTCTCCACCCCCTCACATCTTGTGCGCAGCACGAAGACATGGGGAAAGAATCAGGGCAGTGGGGCTGGTGCGGAGATCCAAGTGAGGCCGACCAGGCTTTTTGTGGCGGAGGGGGGTGGGCTCGTTGTGAGGCAGTCCCTTGGGTTGAGTGGATTGGGTTGGCTGGCTGGTTGGGCTGGATCAAGTTGGGGGCGGTAATCTGCCTTGTTGCCTTGTTGAGTGGGTTGTCTTATGTATGAACTGGTTGCCTTGTTACGAAATGGGCCGTATTACTGTTGTATGTATGCATGTACATACACGCCTGAGCAGTCAGTGAGTGAGTGAGTGAGTGAGTGAGTGATGGGATTTACGGATCCACAACCATCTTGCGGTTGTTTCAAGCTAGACCCCAAAGTAAGGAGGGAGGAGAAAGCGGTTCAGGGCTGAGAAACTGAGTCCACCGGGCTAGACAACCGGTGACGATCAAATCCTGGGTAGTTCCCTGTTTCAGTTCGTTCCATGATAGGATAGAATCTGAAGAAACCAAACTCCATTACCCTGACCCAACCAATCTTCCAGGATCAATGGACAGATGGACAGACGAACAGATGGATTGACATGAACGGACAGATGGATGTCCCGTCCAGATCGATAAATGTGCGGATCGGTGGACGGATACGGATAGAGACTAGTACATAATAGATGCCAAGGTGGCAGGCATGCAGTGAGGCCTACAGGCGGTAAGGGAATCCAAAGGTGGAAAGGTGCGAGATGAGGGCTGAGGGAGAGATGCCGGAAAGGTAGGCTTGCAGAGGGAAGCGAGACAGTGAGACAGCGAGACAGTGAGACAGCGAGACAGCGAGACAGCGAGACAGCGAGACAGCGAGAAGGAGGTTTGGGCAAGGGGCAAGGGGCAAGAGATGGAATAAGGAATGCGCGCGCGTGGGTGTGGGTGTGGGTTTACGAGTATGGGTTACCTGAGTTGTGGACGTTGCAGTAACAGGCAAGGTGACACCGGACCGTGGCCAGAGAGACTTGGTGTGCCTATGGATATACGGAATAGAGACCGCAATGACCGCGTATGGACATCCGATTCTCTCTCTCTTTCTATATGCTCACGTGCTTATCTATCTCTATGTCTCTATCCCTGTGTATCGAGTGTGGTCAATATGAAGCTTGTCAGCTGCCCCTGCGCTTGCTAAATACCTACTGCCCTCGGACTAGAAAGCAGGCTCACCATCACTCTATAAAGGGTAAGATGAGGATCGAGATAGTTAGCATAATTAAGAGGGAACGCATGTTTCAAGGCTTAAAAAACACACTTAAAACACAAGAAAGTGATGAAACGAATTTAAAGGCGAGAGAAAAGGGGGAAAATATGTCCGAGTCCCCATCCCCCCTGACGCGTCCACGGGGCCTAAACGCTCACGCTCCAATCGTTCTAAGCCTCGATCACCATATTTCGGTATTTAGCCACACAAAACCGGAGAACGGAATGAACTTAGCAATTATGAGTACTCGAGATACTTACTTTCAACATGTGTAACCCCATTTGTGGTCACCGTCATATTTATTCATGTGTATCACATTGGGTTGTGTCAAGACCACTTCTTCCCAAAAAAAAGAAAAGAAACCAAATGTAAATGTTAAAAGTTATAAGAACCGAGTATTTCCCTAAAACAGACCGATTATGAAGAACATTCATGAGAGTGTATACCCTGAGATCTCATACCACACGAGAAACATCTAACCCAAGTGATGGTGAATAAAGCAAACTTTTAATTCATGATATCATCATATATGCCTCCCGAAAAAGCCGCCAACCCAATAACCAAACACACCCAGAATGCCCCAAAGCCATCACTAACCCAGTCTATACCAACCCATTCCGTAGTAAATAGCAGGTTAAATCCGATCCCGAAAATCCTAGGGTATAGTCATATCATCATCGCAAGACTCATAAGTCATCATGAAATCGTTAAGGCATTAGTCCAATATCCATCCCTTCACCCGAACTACCCGCCCCTCCTGTGCTCGGCGCAACCTCCAAAGCCGTCGAGCCAGGTGTCGTCACGATCTCCGGTTCGACAGCAAGATATTTTTCTCCTACCTTGCAACTGCCGCAAAGTGCATGGCTGCAATCGTCCACCATGCAGACTTTCGTCGTGCTGATAGACCAGTTCCAGTTACAGTGACACTGCGAGGCCGAGGGAACGGCATTCGTTAGCTCAAGCACACACGTAAGGGTTGATGCGTTGTTATGATAGCGTTGAGGACGAGGGAACTTACGCAAATCCAAAAACGGTACTTCTCTTTCCCATCCTTGAGCCGCTTTGGTTTCGGTGCGCCCTCCTCTCCGCTCCCCTCATTATTCCTCTTGTTTAGCTTGTCGGTCTGTTTCCCTTGCGTCCGCGACGCCGGCAAAGGTGTAGTAGCGCTGACGTTCGGCGTGGCGGCGACCGAGGGGTTCGCAGAAGCGCGAGCAGAGACGTGGGCAGAGGCGTGAGTGGAGGTGGTGGGCGACTCGCCCTGGTCATTCTCGATATACTTCCAATCCTTGATGTCGACTTTCTCCAACCCGTCTCGGCCATTGTAGTGGTTTTCGATATGATCGAACCTCTCGCTATGGACAGGACCGCCCCTGCCGGTTGGCTCAATCGTCTTTTGGCAGAAACCGCACCAGAAGCGCGACTCAAAGTTACGGCCCATTCGGCACTCGGCCAGTTTCTTGTCGAGCGTGACTAGGTCGTGAATGCCGTGGTCCTTTGTGAGGTGCGATTTGAGTGACTCGCGGCGATAGCAAACCTTACCGCACTCCTGTTGGCCGGGGCGGTCGATGGGCTCCTCGGTACAGCGCCAAATCTCATCCTGGATGTGCTGGCTGTTTTCGTGGCGCTTCCAGTCGTTTTTGCTTCCGAAACTCTTCTCACACCTGGGGAAGGTGCACGAGTAGGGCTTCGCATGACGCTTGCGGTGTTTCCTAGTGCGGGGCATATTAGACCAACAAGATCAGGAGTAACTAGGGTGGCAAGGCTAGAGGGGCATACTTGAGCTCGCAAGGTCGGTGAAAGAATTTCCCGCATACTTCGCATTTGTTCTTTGTGCGAGTCGGTTTGCTTGTAGCCGTAGAAACAGTCGTTGGGGTTTGGGGCTTGTCTGCTTTGGCCTCGATTGATGTTGGGTATCCGCACTTCTTCAGCATTGTTTCAAGCTCGCCCTTCTCGATCAACCTCCGAATGACGGCGGCCATCTGTGTCTCGTCATCGAGGTCAATCGGTCGGGGTGTTTCGGTTCCTAGGAGTATATGAGAAGGGGACGATCGCGCAGAGACAACGTCTGCTTTAATGTACTGGGCACCAGTGTTGCGGAGAATGGTGGAACGAGCATCTGACAGGTCATCCAAAGGTTCGTCGTCGTCCTCGTCGTCGTGGTCTCTACAGAGACCATCCTCGGAGACCGATGTATGCGCTAACTCGCTGGCGCCGCCCAGTTCCTCCTGCATCCTTGACTCTAGCTCATCCACCTCAGACTGAAACTCTCCAGGGGGGACGCTTGGCGTGGGGCTCACGTCCAAGTCCATCGGTTGTTCCGAGGTCTCGAACTGATCGAGAAGTCCGATTCCCGCGGCGGGTTGTGTCAAAACATTAGGAGAGATACATTCCAATTGGCGCTGCTCTTGCGAGGGCCGTTCGATGGAAGCTTCCCCAGTTTGGGTAGACGACCCAGAAACACCGACGTGAGCAAGAGACAGTTCATGAGCGGTAGCGAGGCTAGGGTTTTGTGTCTGGTTTTGAGACAAGTAGATCCCCATGGAAATGGGTTGCCGATACGACAGCTCGTCGGTCGTCTCGGCCGGCCCTGAGTTTTCATTGGAAAACGAGTGGTCGGATGCGATAGTGGTGTCATCGGGCTTTTGCCAAACCATCTGCGACGTTGGACTCGCCATCAAGGACGCACCCGCACTAGTGGTCTCCATTGATATTGCGTCATGGCTGGCTTGTTGTACCGGTGTGCTCCTATGGATAACACTTATTAGCTTTGGCGGCACCCCCAGGGCGGAGTTGGCAACACACAAAAAGGTGAACTGCTTCAAGTCCACATCCGTAAGTTGGTGCTTTCTCTTCAGATGTTGCCGGAAGTTGTCGGCGCGAGGCCAATCCTTGCCTCGGTCCGAACAGGCTCCCAAATTGCAACGGTACACATGCTCATCTCCTGTCACCATCTTGTGCACGGATTTCTTGTGACGATCAAGATCGTTTTTGGTGCCAAATCCATCCGCCTTCGCACAGCCTTGAACGGGACATTTGAAAGGCTTATTATGTCTGGCCTCGTGTTTGCTAGTTATAGACACACACTGTTAGTTCAAACCTCAAGAAACGGCATATGGTAGGACGCACGTCAACTCCGAGCGAGTCTTGACCGAATCATGGCACACTGGACAAACGAGCTTCTTGGTAGTCCGCGATCCCGGCACCCCAGGTCTCTGGCTTCGTGAGTCCCGCCCCCAACTCTCTCCACTCATGGAGACGTCATCTCGGCCCAGCATCGCCTGCATGCGAAAGGTGATGTTTTGCGTTTCGAAGGTTGAATCCATATCGCCACTGAGGATTGAGGCATTTCCAATGCTTAGTTTGGTGTGGCTTCCATACCCAGAGTCGGTCGGATTTTTCGCGCTTTGACTGATAGTATCGATCTCCGAAGGCGCAACGCTTCGATACCCGGTGAAATTTGGGATAGCCTGGGGATACGATAAACCCACTGACTGCCTCGCCACGCTCAAGGGGTTCCAAGGCCCTCCTCGGTCTTTCATCCTAGGATACGTGGAGTGCAATACATCTTGCTGGCTATGGCTACCAACCAAAGACTGCAGCTCACCCATCAACTCGTTGTTGCTTGACGCCGCCATCGGTGGGAATGTGAAAACTGACGACATAGCGAGATCCCCAGGCTGTCCATGGCTATGCGGAGTGAACGCGGTCGGCGAAGTGGGCGAAACGTTACCGAGATTAGGGTGCTGAGACACAAAGGTATGGGGTTAGGACAGAGTTATGAGGGAGCTGAGCTAGAAGAATACGAGCAGCATACCATATAGCGGCCCTGCTGGGGGAACTGAGAATGGTTCACCATGGTGGCTGTGTGCTCGGGGTGTGAGCGTGGGGTGCTAGGTTGGCTAGCTATCGGGGATTGACGACACCGACAAGCGCTCACAACGGTTGCCCAGTGTTTGAGGTAGGCCGTCCTGGTCCCTGAGAGTGAGTGTGGGCCAATATGAAGAGGTTGGCGGTGGAATCGAGCTCAGGCCCAGGTCAGGGCAGCAAACGGAAGGCTATCCGTCCCGTGAGTGGGCCGGGGAGTTCGGACGGCGGGGGAGCTTTGTATCAAACGGCTAAAGGAACACGGAGCAGAACCCAGACAGACAAGTCACAGACAAATCCCTGTCAAAAAAAACCACAAGCGATCGACCGCGTCGTTCGTGGCGAATGTCTTGATAAGAGGGACGGTGGCGCGGTTTACGGAAAATGCGATGCAGGAATGCCCGGATGACGACGCCTTGCCACGACGAGTCCTTTGTTGGACATGTCCGGCGCAAGGCGACGAGTGGTGCGCGGACAGCCCCAGTCGTCGGGAGGACGAACAGAGGACTCGACGCTGGGATCTCAAATGGGAATCGATTGCGACAATGTGGGGAAGCAAACGGGTAAAAGTCGCTAGCTTTAGAAAGTGTAAGAGGAAAATATGTCGATTAACATTTCGGGCTTGACGGGTTGCAGCTGTGAGGAAGGAGAAGTCTGCCACCATCCATGGGAAGGAAGGCAGCAGCGCACTAAGGAAGCCGGTCAGGACGCCGCCTGGCTTGGGTGGCCGCCTTGCGGTTGCGGAAGATAATCACGTGACTAGTCCCTCCTAACTCTCAATGAAGAGTGAGCGCTCGGTCACGTGTCACAGCCCTCTACCCGATCCTTCCTCGTCCGTCGACTTGGCCAACCGTCTACTTTCCCCACGAAAATGAAATGGGCCGCAAGGGATTCGTCATTGGGCAACGACAACCGCGAGCGTACGTCCAAAGCATTCAACATCGGGCACCCACAGCCACTCTGCTCAACCGTAACACATGCCTTCGCGATACTGGCCTAACGATTTGCGGCCGACCGGATGAATGCAAACAATGTGTTGCAACCACCGCTTGGACGAGCGGGTTCCTCGAGTGGTGGGTGTTCCGCCAACGAAGTCACAGTGCTCGCTTTTTTGAGAACCACACTTTGATTCGTTACGCAGCGCGTACGAGGTGTGCTGCCGGACTTTCAATGTTCTAGCACTTACACATTTGCTCTCATCGTGCCTCTTGCGAAATCTGCGTTTCCGCCGCTGCACGCCATGGATTCTTCCACAGTTTTCTAGCCTCATTTCTGCCCTAACATGCTGCAACACGGCTAGCCCACGTCAATTTGTCGACAACTCAAGCTTACCCCAACTCTCCCGTCTTAGTAAAATCCTAAGACCGGTGTGGCGTTGATCCGAGCCCCAGCTTCCCCGGTTCGGCCCTCCACGGACATCCATGCGGTTGCCCGCCGGGACAACCGCCCCGCAGCCGAAGGGTCTTCCACGCTGCAGAGCTGAGCTGTTTCGCTATGGCTGGTGTAATCAGGCCTCTGGGATTGGGCAGCGTACCCATGCAAGAGCCGCCAGTTCGACAAAATCGGGTCCCTGACTTGCATGTTTGAACAACCCGCAGGCCATCGTGCAGCAACCAGATCATATCTCAACTTCATATCCCAGATTCCGCAGATGGGGTGTGATGGGGGCAGCGGTGGGTCGCATTTCGAGATCGGATTCCCTTCCGCTTCGAAGCATGGCTTCACACGTGTCGGGGGGATGAAGCACAAACTACATCTCTCGTATACAATTGACCCACCGGGTCGGGTTCGGGTTCGACATCCCCCGGCTCGCCTCGAAGCGGCCTTTCGAGGATGACCGAACCCAATGTTGAAGGAGGAAGAAGTCCATCCTTGCTGACGCACCGACTGCGAGAGAAGAGTGGGAATGGAATGATATTTTGGTTCCCCTCTGCTTCCATTGCCGTAGATATTGAGTGTCCCTTCTCTGACCGCCCTCCACTCCACAGAACGGAACACACCCATAGATACGATACCGCCGTTCCCCAGCATTGTTGGGGCTTGGGGTATCTTTGCCGGGTGTCTCTTTTCGGGTACCGGCCCCCGGTAGTATCGATGTTTGGCATTTGCCAAATCCCGAGTCAAACTACCCTGCCCTTGTGCGGGCTGTTTGCTTTGAGCTGCAGAGTAATGCGCCATATCCGACCCAGGCGCATCAACACTGCAGAAAGATGGCCCACCACCGTTAACGCCATACCTGTACAAAGGAACAAATCCCAGTCAGCCCTCATTAGGGTCAAGCTCCTCAACCTTTAAGCGAAAATGGCTTATCATCCAAACTCGGGGCATCATCAAACCCCACGATGCAGCGTTGGTACTGCACCCGGTCCCTTATTCATTGTTGGGCGAGCGTATCACATGAGCCGGTTTTCGCCTCAATGCCCATGCCCATGCCCACCACTCTTTCTCGGCACACATCATGCATAGGTCAGCTGTTGCGTGTATATATATGTTTCGATAGCCGAGGATACAGTGGTGTTAGTTTCTTTATTAGATCTGGGGCGAGATTCATCAACTTTCCGCAACGCGGATTCGAATCTGGAGTCTATATAAGCCAGGCCCCCCCAGCCCCCAACCCAATATCTTCTGCAGCAACAACCCATATCTTTCAAAACCACACGATCTACATCGCCTACACATCCACAAACATCGTCAAGACGCACATTTGCACTCAGCTGCTCGCCTACCGGTCAACCATTTTCACGATTACTTCCCTAACCCACCCGGCCGTAACGCCCTACCCAATTCCCCTCGGCCACCCATCATAAGGTTCTTTACCTTTCCATACCGATCTCGTGCGGTACCGTATCAACACCAACACCACACCGCACAACATCTCCTCCCAAGGGCCACTCAGCTCCTGGCACAAGACAAAAAAGGGGACCATGTGCTACTACGACAAATTCCCCTTTAACTGCGGGCATGAAACCGAGAAGCTCAACCACCCCTGCCACCTCCGCCGCCGCCAAATCCACGGGGGCCGCTGGTGCGATGTCCACATTCCGTGGGGCGTCCATCTCCAGCCGAACGACTGCGATGAATGCCGGCAGGAGAAGAAGGCGACCTATCAGGCATGGGCACAGCCGCTGTACGATCAGGCGGGGCAGCAGTACCGTGACGAGTATCCGGAGGGCGCGCCGTATCGTGGACATTGGCATCAGTGGTTCGCGCAGTGGCAGGTAGATTTCCTACCGCATAGGCTGGCATGGTTCCAGCAGTATGATGCGGATGCGGCACAGAAACGGGTGCTGGAGGCGCAAGCGAAGGCGCAGGAGTATCAGGCCAACCTACAGCTGGGGCAGTCGCTACAGGATATGCAGGACGAGTTTCGGAGAAAGCAAGCGGAGGAGCAGAAACAGAAGGACGAGCACCCGAAAAAGAAGGGGAGCAAGAAGAAGTGATGTGGGAGAGGGAGGATCAAAGGGACAAGGGCTGGAGAGGGGGACCTCTGGAAGATGAAGGGGGTGCGGGATAGAAGATGCTGGGCTGGGCCTAATATGGAGTGGTTAGTGGTAATCCAAAATGCGGCTTTGGGAAAATGACTGGTCATTTTTTCAGCTGCTTAATTTAGAGGAAAACCAGGGCGGGGGGAGCAGCAATACCGGATGGCGGGGAAGGTATTGGGCACAAATGGTGGTGAGCTCCAGGGAGACACAGCACTTCAGGTTCCTAGACGGTCGGTAACATGGGGTTACAACAGGCTGGGGAGGAACAGCTGTGGCTCTGAGCTGGAGAGAACCGGGGACGAGTGCCTAGGCCCTTAGATTAATCACCTTCTTTTTGGTAGCATTATACATAAAAACTCCCCTTGATGGGTTTTCGAGAACTTTTCGAGTATTCTTCGATGTCAAGTGCTCTCCGTGTGTTTACGGGATGTCTTTCACAATTAGAACCTCGCATCATCTTCCTACACTTCAAGGTCACAATACTAACCTAAATTTACCCTTTGTTCCCCTTTCTGCACTTGACGGCCCAGCATTTCATCACCAGATGGTAACCCCTGCCTTGAACCATTGGTGCTTGACCAGAGCCTTAATCCTTGAAGACCATCCGTCCATCTCCTCACCCATTTCCTCATCCATCTCTTCATCCATCTCTTCATCCCTCCACGCCCACACAATATTCTCACACACCCGCAGGGCAAATAACAGGGGTCAAACCCCCACCCACACACCACCTTCCCGCGGCTACCCGGCCCTCCACTATGTCTATACCAGCCGATGTGCTACACCACGTGCATGTAAGGTTTCTTTAGGAATAGTGGTCGGTACGTAGGGGCCGAATGCAGTGGAGATGAGCTCCACAGAGAACGAACAGCGGTAATGTAGCCATTATTTTGCACTGATGGGCTGGAAGACTCTAGGAGCCTTGTTAACGTAGAATGCAGGTAGATCTCCGTATTGCGGATAACGTGTTGTTCCTGGGCAACTGATGAAAATAAGGAGAGAAGAACGCTTAGTTTTGAGGTAGATATGCATCTTAACGACAGAGTCTGGGTCGCATGGCCTGGAAGAGAAATGGAATACATAGAGACAAGACGGGGGAATCCAGCATGTGGCTTATGCGACTCGACCATGCAGTATAGCCCGGACGCGTGGTATCGAAAGTATGTACAATTGGCTCAAAAGCACAGTCACAACAACGTGTTTCCACGTTCATTATTGCACACATTGAGAAATGCCCCTTCCATCAACATCAAGGTGGGTACCCTGTTGATGGGACCTGACAGTTCGCATGCTACACAGTTGGAAAACAACCTTTTGTAACGTATCACCAAACTGGCCAGAAGTCCAGAAAAAGCCCTGACGAAGCACTCTGATCACCTGGAAGCCAATGATACGAAGGAAGGGAGCGTTGTGGGCCAAAGGGTTTTTCGTTAGGCCGACGTCCTCAGTTCAGTTGTCAGTAACAGACGGCGGCCCTGTGCGATGGACTAACCGTAACAGCATTATGCAGGAGAAAGCAGCAGATTTTGCACATCAACAGGCCACAGTTTGACAGAATTCGGAGGCTCGGGAGAGTAACATACCCGGTGCCCCCAACCATACCCTCATTGCGAAACAGCACCATTCCTGCTCATAGCACCGCCTAAAATAAGCTAAAATACAACACACACACGTCGATCAACAGCCATCAATGCCAGCCGCTCTAAATATATAAGTAATCCCTCACGCGTTCTCTTTCTTCCCTTCCCCCCCTACTCTTCAAAGTTCGTCGCGCCCTCAACCTTGCCCACCACGTTGTACCGCTTCGAGAAGAAGGTCACCCAGTCGTTGAGCACACCCTTCTCCTTGTCGGGGAGGTCCTGCCAGTCGGCACTCACATCCTCGGGCTTGGTCGACGTCTTGCCTAGGGCGCGCGAGGCGTCTTTGCCGGCGAATACTGTAGGGGAAGACGAGGTGAGTTGGTTGGCTGTCTGCTTGGGGTCTAGGGGTTTCCTCGTGCCTGAGAGAGGAAGGAGGGAAGGGAGAGGAGCGATGAAGTGAGGGTTGATCATGGAAGCAGGTGACTAAGATGAATACGTACCGTGGTAGGCGCCACCCGGCTGGTAGGCCTTGTTACCTGTTACATCGTAGACGATGCCCTGCATAGGGAGCGTGAGTAAGAGTTGAAGTGGGAAGGGGGAAGAGCAACAGGTGCTGAAGGTACTGACCTTGATAGCGACGTAGCACTTCTCGCCATCCTCGCCTAGAAACCGCGATGTGAGTGAGTCGGAAGTTATACGAAAGAAGAACGTCCCTTCAAAATCATGGACTGCCTCTGAAGGGACAGAACTCATCGTAAATGAGAATACATACCGTTCGCCTTAGCCAATTCCTCGAGGGAAATGGGGTCATCCTTCGGGGGGTTCAGTTGAACAGGAACCTTGGGCTCAAATTTCCCGGCCATTCTGTTTGCTGGTAGATGAGAGACGGCTTGAAGAGGGAGCTGTTGATTGTCTTTATCTGGGAATTGTGAGCTTGCGCCAAGGATAGCGGGATTAACGTCGTTCCTAATGACCTCAAAAGTGAGAACCCCTCGAGACTCACTTTATTTTGCCTAGCGACTCAAAGTTGAAGATGAGAATGGTCAAAACGGTCACTGACTTTTTGAGAATTCACTCTTTCAAATGCCACGGAAGCTCACGGTTCGAAACCATGAGCGGGTGGGCCCGCGCCGGACCTCGGGAATGGAGGGGCACGCGGGGCCCGACAGGGATGTGCTTCCGTCGTGCGATGACGTGCAGCTCAATTGCTTGAGCTGCCTGAGGAATCAAGATGGAGAGCTTCATCAAGCTTCGAGCTCGGACCTCTTTCCTCAACTGGACTTTTTCAACACCAAATCAACAAACCACGAAATTTCGAGGGATTCGCCGTTAATTCACAGCGCCCGGCCGATTAAACCCCGGTAACGAGAACCAATCGAGTTCCGGTTCCATAGGGTGCCACAATGTCCTTACTCAGGGCCGCTGGCCTCCGGTCTGTGGGCGGCGGCGCTCGGCTGTCGCAGCGATGCGCTTCGTCTGCGACGACACTTACTTTCCGAGGGCAACAGCCCTACCAACAGTTGCGGCAAAAACCGACGACCTGCTTCTCAAAACTAGTTGGCTACCAATACCGCCGAAACTCGACGAACGCCCCGAATACCAACCCGAAAGGTTCGTCCCAGCAAAACGGACAACCACCGAAGCCGACACCTTCGCTCGCGGGCATGATCTGGCGCGCCATCAGGTCCGATTCCGCCCGGTCTTGGTACGTAATCCGGAACACCAAATTCAGGGATGTCATGCGCGATAGTCCGTTGGAGGCATTCAGTGCAATCGTGGCGTGAGTGGCCCCCTCCCCCACCCCAACTGCAGGCACCCTAGGCGCATGCCATGCCGTGCCAGACCGCACCGTGCGCTGACACCACCCCCCGATAGAGTGGTTGGGGCCATTGGCGTTATGTTCTACTGCATATACGCCTATTATACGTACTTCAACAGCCGGCAGTTTACGCGCTTTCCCGAGCCCGTGGCCGCGGCCCTGCGCAAGGCCCTGTACTTCAGCAACCACCAACCCGACCCGCAGCGCGCCCTCAAATACTACAAGCAGGCCCTCGAGCTTTGCGAGCAGGAAGGGATGGATCACTTCTCCGACGATGTGATGGGCATCAAGATCCAGGTCGCCGCGTGGCTGGAGAAGATTGAGAGCTACCAGAATGCGATCGACGTGCTCGAGAACCTGCTGGGCGACTGCAAGCGCTGGGTGGAGGTCATGGAGAAGAGCGCTGCGGACGGAACCCTTCCCAAACTGGAGCCGCCGACACCCCCCCAAGAGGGGGAATCTGCGGCCCCCAACCAACCGCTGGAGGGGTGGTGGGCTAAGCGAACGCGGATCCTGGCCAAGGCCGTCAGTGTCAGTGTCAAGTTGGCCAGCCTGTACTCTGACGAACATGTTCTGGAACGGGAGACTTCCCACGATCGGCTTGTCTGGGCCGTTGAGACCGCACTGAGGGAGACGCAGAGGCGCGCCAATGGTGGGCTCAAAGAAGGGGAGGGGCCTTGGATGACTCCCGAGGAGATTGGCGGCAGCTTGGAGTGTGAGTTTTTAAATGAGGCGACACCCCCTGGGATTTGCGCCCGCGTGAAGTAGGAGACTAATTTTTCCCTTCACAGCGCTCGCGCAGAGCTACCAGGCCAAAAACCAACACCACCTCGCAGTTCCTCTTTTTTTCCAGGCTCTTAGGTTGTGCGAGGAGCCCTGCCACATTGCGCTGTTGAGTAAGTGTTGCCAACTCCACACACTACGCTTTGGGCTCTTTGGCTTGAGGTAGACTAACATCTGTAGTGAACAACATTGCTACCAGCTTCGCCGAGCATCCTCTCATCACGCCCGGTGATGCTCCCGTGCACGCGATGATGAAGGAGGAGTCCCAAGCCTGGGCCTCAGCGGCCGAACAGCGCGCATCGTACCTCGCTTCGGCCCAACGATGGGCACAGAACGCCGTCAGCCATGCGTCAGAGCCACAGGGTGAGAAACGTACTCCCGAGTGCGACCAGGCCTGTGCCGTTGCGCTGTCTAATCTGGGTTCTATTCTGGCGATCCTGGGTAAGAACGATGAGGCGCGCAAGAAGTATGAGGAGGCCATTGCCTTGAGCAATAAGTTTGGCTTCAGCGACTACGCTACAGAGGCTACCACGCGGCTTCAGAGCCTGCCTTCAGCATGAGGTGTTCATGAACTACTACTCTCATCACCACTCACGCCGTCGTCATCACTCACAACTTCACACTCTCCGCTCAATCCATGACAGTGCTCTCACAGCACCAAACACCACCTCCTCCTAGCGCTCAAGCGGGCATACACCGAGAGCACCAAGAGCACCACTCTTCCCCATGTCGCTACACTCTAGTCCCATCAATCACTACGGTCATACAATCGGCCTTACCGACATGTGAGTCCGCCAGGCAGCAGGGTTCCGCGTTCTATTCCTCGACATCGACACATGTTTCGAGGTCAGCCCGACACTTTCCCAATCAGCTCAGCGCGCGGCTTTCCCTTTGCCCGATCAGCTTTTCGCACTTCCAAAATGGGCAATGCGAAAAAAAAGAAAAAGACGTATCGACCTATGAATTCGACCCATGAATTCGAGGTGCCTTTCCCGGGAAATGCGCCCTTGGGGCGCAGCTCAGCCTCCCGAGTCCCGAACGATGCATTGCTAGTGGGGGCGGGGACCAGCTTGCTTGCGCAACACAGGCTAACGTTACGGATAACAAGCTAACTTTTAAGGAATTTGGGGAAGTGGGCAAAAGAAGGGTGAGGGGCAAAACCCCAATGACAACCTGGTAAATCCGTGCTTGGTGTCGGCTCCGACTGTTCGAGAACAAAGGGAGTCACTTGGTGAGGTCACTGTCAATGCTGTACGGAAACGTCGGCATGAAGCGGGACAAGAAAAGAACCCCCTCAAGTCCTCCACACACATCCCCGATAGATCACCGACGCCGAATCCTGACAAACCCAAAAAGAAGGGAGAGGGTGAGAGCAAAGAAACAAGACGGGATGGATATACGCGCGCGAACCGGATTCGCGAAGCGAGCTCAAGCGAGCGAGAAGGGTGTGTTGTACCACGGAGAGCGGATGAGGCCGGTGCGGGTGTCACAAGACCAGGAGGTCGGGAATACCAGGCCAGGGACCCCTCACCAATCTCCATTCGCCAAACTTTAAACTCAAAAGAAATAAAACAATACAACTAGAATTGAGCCAAAGGTAACCACCACCGTCTCCCGCGCTCGGATCCCACGCCTTTTCCAGAAACGGGCACCACCTCATCAACCCAAGAAAAAAAAAAAGAGGGCTTCGGGGACCTACACTCCCTAGTGCAGGTACTTCGGTCCTGCGGGGCTCGAAAAAATCGGGAAAGCTTTGGAGCGAGTTCCATTGGCAAAAGGTGTGGTCCAGAAATGTGTGTGGGAAGGATCCGGGCTTCCATCATTGATGCCCGAGCAGGGATACAAGGGTGGGATAACTCCGGGCAAAGGTCGCCCCACATTAAAAATTGTTAGCCACACCGCCTGCTCTCTCATTCGTGGGCTGGCGGCTGGGAACGACTGGGAAATTCCTTCTCTTCTTGTGCGCTTCGCCTATTATCCCTGTCGGCACACGTGTTTTGGAGGAAGCAGGGGGGGGGGTGTGTGTGTGCGTGTGCGGGCGATGTGACAGGGGGGGTGGCGAGGAACTTGCAGCGGGCAGGGAACGTCACGTCGATGGAGGGTAGTTTGTGTCCGGCGTTCAGGAAATGGGCAAATTTTGTTGAGAAATCAGGGATCTGTCCGTCACAGAGGAACCGTTTTTGGTTTTCTCTTTGGTTTTTTGTTTTTCCCACATGCTTGAACATGTCCTATTATCGGAACGTTTGCGATATCGCCGGGGGGGCCGGGGGGTGGGAATTGGGGTAAAAAAATGGAATGTGGGTAAAATGAAACGAAGTGGGCAAAATGAATGATCCCCGAAACGGGGAAGAGACGACCAATCATGTTGAGAGCTGGAGTTGGAGGATTCTGTTTGAGTGTACGATCAGGTGCAATTAACTGGATGACGAGAAGAAGTTGGGACTAATTATCTCCGAGATACTGGAACTCTTTCGTACAAAAGTTGAGACGCTTCAGAAACCCGAAGATTGAAGTCTCCGCGCCCCCCTCAAAACTCTTGATGCAAAACCTGTCATACCTTAGTGTACCGGCGCTAGACTCGAGCTATCAGCACGGATCTGCCTCCCCTTCCGCTACGGGACAGACCGTCTCTCCCCGCGCGGCTCGCCTCGACTGTTGCAGTGATGTGCGTTCCGGATTGGCATACCATTCTGGCAGGCCCCGCTTCATCCAGGTACCAAAATCTGTGGCCCCATTTGCTCAAAAAAAGAGTGTCTCGTCTCAGTGGGCTGGTTAAAGTGATTGGCTGAATCATCACTGGGTTGGGAGGGGACTGGGGGAGGTCCAGACCATGTGGAGCTTGGTGTGCGGTTATGCTAGCGATTGCCTCAAGCCGGACGGTTTCCACGGGGCGTTCGGAGAAGAGGGAGGGGGAGGCAGGAGCAGAGGGGGGGTGGAGGGGGGGTTCTGGACAGTGATTGAAGCTAAAGAGTGAACGGCGACACTAGTAGTAGCGTACTTGTAACGTGACCTAGCAGCCGTCAAAGTTGCAAGGACTACGCCTGTAAGGGAGGGCAGCGGATTAGCGAGTTCGATATGTGTGCATGTGAAGCTTGTGAATATCTCCGCCGGCTCTGCCAGATCGACCATACAGCAAGGCGAGAATTCGGGTGCCTGGGGAAGACTTTCTCCTCTCTTCTTTTCTGCTGCTGTTCTGGGAAAGGGCTGGGATTCCACCTTTGGGCCATAAGCGAGCTGGGTCAAATTCGTTTTTGTCTTGTGATTTTGGCCGGACGGAGTGAGAGAGAGACGGATGGTGGACGATGGTTGGCCACAGAGTCAAGAACCTCATTCGTGCCTAGTTTCGGGTATCGTCATTGAAGTGGGCTAATTCGCTTAATTAGGAGCCTTTTGGGCATATTTTAGCCCCGTTATGTCTTGGCATGTCTTGCAGCTCCTCGGAGACGGCGGGTTGAGTGGGGTCGGCTTCGATTTTGGGATGTGCGACTTTCATTTTGAGTTCTGACGGGATTTCGGCGCTGGCCGTCTTTTTCGGGGCGGGAGGCTCGTTTTCCGCGGTGGCCTGTCCGCGGAGCCTAATCGGCGGCGGCGGCGCGAGCTCGTGTTGATTAGGCTGGTCTTGTCTCGTCTCCTTCTGCCCATGTCGTCTCAACATTGTGATCCGTTTTGGGAACGGCCCTGTTCGCCGTTGTGGGCCTTGGCGGGGTAAAGAAACGCTCTCGCAGCTCCTCACCGTTGAGATTTCGACAAGGGCAAGGAACCCACACCACAGTCTTTCTGTTTGCCTATTTTATTTTTATTTCTTTTTTTGGCCCCATCTTCAAACCTTTCTGGACACCTTCTACGCCTGCTTCACACTCGCAGGCATGTCTGCATGCACCGTTACTCTGGCGGTCGCGCAGGGTCCAAGCCTCGGTGCCAAGTCGGACGATCTGTTGTGTAACCATCGGGTGTAAACCGGATTTAGGTCAGAATGCCAGGCCCGGAGGATATCTGGCGCTCTCAAAGCCTCGGCGCAGGAGGTGATGGGCGGGAGATGCGATAACTAATCTAAATCTGTCGACATAATACATGCTTTATACATATCGGGAGTGAAGTGGTTGGTGTGAACGTTGCTGCTTTGACGACGAACGAAGACGATCAGATCCACGGGTTCGAGAGCCTCCACACGACCCTGTGCGGGGGCATGGAGCCAGATCCGGTCAGCCCCCATTCGCTGTCAACCGCATCCGCAGTTAACGTTAGACACACACAAAACATTGTCTTAGCTCGCTTTCGGGTCTTCTCAGTTGGTACGCAGGCTGGTGGTGTGTGACGCTACTGATGGGAAACGGACAAACGCCCGCGGTGATAAGACTTCGAGATCTCTAGCGACATTTTTCCAAGAAGCTAATGAAGAGGGGCGTCCGCTGGAAAAGAGTTGAACAAGTCGGGACGCAAGCAAAGTCCGGGGACCAACAGAGCCCCTGATTGGCTAGGCCACGCCAAATGTCGGCCTTGGCAAGGTGGTTTAAGCTTAAATGGGTTGAGTCGTCGTCGAAGTTCAGTCAGAACTCGGGACATCTCTCGGCCGCGCTCCTTCGCTTGCTCAACTAGAAAGGCGAAAATGTTTGTTGTCAACATTGAAATCCTTCGACCGCGCCAGCCGCTTCTCCTCGACATCGCCTATGACTAAGGCCATCCCGTTGAGAACGGCCCTTCAACTATGTTGATGACAATCTCGGCGGCTTGTCCTGGACGATGGCGGGGTACGGGATGGTATCATTGGCACGTTGTTGCCCGGGGCCGGATTCGCCATGGATTCTCTTGTTCGTGCGATGCCGTCCGGGTCTTCCGTTCAGCAAGCTTCCCCTGTCTTTGCGTCGACTCTGCATTGGACTTTGTCTCGATATCCCAGAATTTGCGGAGTTGGGGACACGATATTTTAGTAAGAACGTGGGTGTCGACTCGTTATCTGATTGGAATCCGATGGCATCCCAGGATCTTCCACGGCCCGTGTGCCTGCCTTCCACCCACGGCTCCGGCTGAGTGGGGCGAACTTCTTTTCCCCGGAGCATGCCCCTCGGGGTCACCCCCCTTCGGCGTTCTTTGTGACCACCGGCCCTCTGATTTGCTCCGGACTTGCCAGGCACCAAGATATTCCGTCAATTTACACGTGTAGAAGTTAAGCATACGAGGATGTGAAATGGCTTGGGGGCTTTTTCGATATAGACCTTGTCCTTGTCGTTGCTTGCTCGTTTCGCATATCCGGTAGCGACCGGCCAGTTGGAATGCGCCAGAGACAATGGACCACTAGTAAGAATGGTGGTCTAGATCCCGAGATTCTGCACCCTCTGACGCCTGCTATCTCATCTCGATATCAGCGAACCGGGGACTTGGAGGCTCACCTGCCTTTCCAGGGGACGGTAGTTTGAGTTTTGATTGTGATGCGCCTTAGAATGCCTGCGACAACCAAACGTGGGAGTTTCGAATCTCCTTCTTCCCCGGCCCCGCAATACGGCCAGGATACGGAGAGCATCATTGGAGCTCTGAAATACGGTTTAAACTGTGGACCCCATGCCCCAGGCTTTCCTTTTCCCATCACCTCCAGCTTCAAGATCTCGACACCCCAGGCGAGCCAGCTGCCGAAACGGCGGCGCGGGTCTCGGTGTCGTGGCATAGACCGGCATGCCGCCCAGCAGCCTTTGATGGTCTAGTGAGCGAGTTTACTTGGTGAGGCGCTGAGACCCAGGCGCCAGGCACCCGTTTTTTTCAGTCGCCCCCGCTGGCGCACTAGCTGTAGTGGGGGCCGGCTTGCTGACAGAACCTGACCAAACGACCAGAACAGTTGAAGACAAGCTGATCGGGCGAAGAAACCGCCTTCTCGTGGATGTCCCGATGTGGTGGTCCCCGGTAGCCCCCGATGACTTTCAGGAGTTTCCCATCGGGCAAGATGAATTTGGCATTTTGGAGCAACCCCCCTCAGGGGAACTTGCTGCACTCCCAAACGCTCTTCCGTCAGGTCCTGCACTCTTTGCAAACCGTTCAAGCGCCTCCGCGTCCGTCTTAAAATTCCCTGCAAGTTCAAGGCAACACGATTCCGTTGCCGATTCGGACCAAATTTTGTGTTACCGTTGCAGCTTCGACGATCCAGTTGTCCTTGAGATAGATCGGTCGTTCAACAGTGACGGCTCTTGAAAACTTGGAATTCGGTTCGCCTTGGTAGCCGGGCGGATGGTCCAGCCCCGATGCGTGGTGTGAGATTCCAAAGTACCGATTGCGCCTGTGCTACCACTTCGTGTTGACAAGATGACACCCAGTGTCTTTTCTCCCCCTTTCCCGCAGACAATCGACCCCGAGTTCATACCCGCCGACTTGAGAGTTCCCCCCCCAGGGCACACCGGAACGATTGTATGGCGCGGATATGCTCAAAAGGGAGGGTCGTGGAGACCACACCCCGTCGACGAATAAGAGGTCCGTTTATTGGGATGCCTTGAGATGGCGTTTTTTTCTGAATGCGGGGGCCTTCCACAATTAAGCTTTCTGTCCCACTATTTCTGAAAACGGATGGCACACTTGGACATCAGAACCGAACGGCGAAACAAAAAAAGAGAGAGAGCGCCCAACGGATCGTGCCTGCCTCCAGAACGCAGCTTCCGTGATGTGTTCGCCAGGCAGCCGCTCGCCTTCTGCAGTGACAGCCAGCGGAAGATGCAGGCGTGATGCGAGTGAAGCTTCGATCTTGTACATACTCTATGCGCACCTTCCACTCCCAAGCTGGCTGGCCCCGCCAGCATTTCCAGACCCACTTGAAGCCCGCCTATTTCCCCGATTTGGGTTTGGCGCGCCTGCGGATTGCACTAGGAAAAAACGGCCGACAATTCAGATCTTGTGCCAAGATTGCTAATTAACCACATTTCCATCGTCTTTTTTCACTTTATTTTTGCCCGCTCTTTTTCGCCAACAAACCCCAGGTTCGAGACGATTCTTGCACGACTTGCCCGTATCTCTCACAGTCCGGCGCAGACTGACGAACAAGCTTACCCCCGTCAATTCTCACTGCTTTTGCTCCCGTGAGCCTCCGAATTGGGGAAAAAGGTCCACAGATTGGCCGTGAAGCATGGCAACGAGAAATGAGCGACGGAGATATTGAACGGCGGTTGGGCCGCTCGTATAGCGATATTACCAGGGTTTCAATGCCCCTACCTTCACCCCCACCACCGCCGGTCGCTGCGGCACGGTTGGTCAGCTTGGGGAAGCTGGGGACGCTCTCATTGACCAAACAGCCGCGGAAACAAACATCGACACAACAACGTTGAACCAACTACCATTTTCCTCGTTCGCCAGGCTCCCCGCGCTCGGTAGGGCTTCGGCTGCGCCGTTTCAGCCGCGTGGCGAATAGCTTTTCCGGGACATATTCTGGAGACTGCCGTCTCTCCAAGGGCATTTAGTGGTGTTTACTCATCTCCGCGATCGTTGAGACCTGCATCTTTGACGTCACTGCCTAGAAGGATCAAGACGTTTCGCGAGCGCGCTTTTTTGCCTCTCGGCGAAAGAGCAGCGCAAGACAGGCTCGTTTCCGTCGCCGTCCTCGGCTATCGGATGCAAGCCGGCCTAGCACCTCTGACATGGGGGGAAAACGGTCGAAATCGGCGGCCGTCGTCCATTATCGATCATCACGCGTAGCCAATGGCGCCGTTTCGAGAACATCGCGCCATGGGTCAAAGTCGCGCCGACCACCGGCTCTTGTCTCGCTCACGCTGTTGATCTCGTGGCCGTCCGCATTGCCGTTTGCAAAATCCACCTAGCCACGGGACGGGAGACAGGCGCAGAAGGGCGGTCGAGGGACGTATCGTTCACGTTACCTCGACGCTGCATCTCGACCTGCATGTCTTGCCACCCCCCTCCCCACCACCCCCCTCCCAATTGTTCATTCCAC